ATATACTGATATTTGCTATAACCGGATATCACTGGCTGATGTAGGTTGTTCTTATATATTTCAAATCTATGAGTTGGGTCATTGAAAATAAGATTCAATCTCAAGCAGTAAAGCAGCAATGATCAACTTGAAGGTACGCAAATAGGTGCTTTGTGTCCTCAATTGCAGTCTTTTCATATTTTCTATAGTGGCAGATACGAGAGACCTTAACTCATTTTCTGACGCTTTGACTACGTATAACATGGAATTAATGTATTTTATCGTTAGATGATAAGCATTTAGAACACAAAATTATGTTGTCGTTAGAAGATGATAAGCATTTGGAACACAAACTGGATTTTCATTAAGAAAACAGTCTACTAGAACTAGACAAGAATAAGAAAGAATCCCAGTTATCCACTTCTAATAGCCTGGGAGAATTTACAAACAATGCAAGGGAATTCAAAATACTTCATGAGCCACCGTAAACACCCAAGATGGCACTTTTATAAAACATGCGATAGATAATGGCTTAGTGGCTTGGGATTGTTGCTCCCTCTTCTTTTCAATTTTCCCCACTTCTGTAACTCAGTGGACTGATTGTAGTCCCCTTCCTTCACTCTCCTATTTGTATGCCTATTGTAAGTCATCAGTGGTCTTGGTCTCTTACCGAAAGAGGTTTTCACGTTCTAGATTCTCATTTAATGTTCATGCTCTCTGCATGAAGTCTTTTCCCTCTGTGGATCATCTCTATTAATATATGGCTTTCTATACCCATGTACCTGTAGTGGTTCTGTGAATATTCTTTTCTTGCTTATAATTTTTTTCCTACTGCAGCTACAAGATTATGGCAAGAACCCTCCAGCAGAGAATGAAGTACAATTCCGGGTAACAAGGGTCACTTTGGAGCCTATGATGAAATCTATGGCTTATATTGGTCAGCAACTCTCCACACCAGTCAATAAAGTTGCGGTCATCAATCTGAAGGTATACAAACTTGGATCCTGCCTCTTTCGAACCATTTTTACAATCTCAAGTTTTTTAGGCGCAATAATTTGCTCCTTTAGATGCTTTCACCTCCTATAAATTAAATCTCAAAATGGGAGATGGATGAGAATTCAAACTTTAGGGTTGAATTATGGTTGCCAGAACATAATTTAAGCATGTTTCAAAATATTGTAATTAAAGTAGCAGTCATTAAGCCGCTAGGGCATGGGTAGTTTCTTGGATGTCTCTTAAGTTCAAGCCTCCATGCTACATTGTGACGCAAACTTACATAATCATGAATAATAATTGGACATATGAAATTCAAAAACAAACCATATGTATGGATTGAATGATGCTGAATAATCAGGAACTCTCCCCCGCCCAACCAGGGGGGAAGAAAAAAAACCTCCCTCAAAAGGATTTGAACTGAATAATCTGTCTTGAACTTGATCATTACCTACTACAAGTTTAGAAACATACGTTCCTCTAGTAGAAGTCAAATGAATGTTTATTTGATCTTGATGCTTGTAGAGCCTTAAAAATTAAGGCCCTTTCTAAGGTAAAGGCTTTTGTTTGTACTTTGTACTGAACTACTGTGCTTGTTAACAGAATTAAATGTTACGTATGTACGTGTTGGTTAATTTGGTCGGGGAGTTATAGCTGTTGGAATCTGATGGAAACAAAATGAAAATGTGCTAAAATTGGAATAATTACACCAGTGTAAAGTCTGAACAGAATTCAACAAGGATGAAATTGAAAATGAAAAATAAACAGAAGACACTCTAGCACTTCAAGAGGCTAGTTTCTCGCAAATAACACTCACTAGTTGCTTACATTTCTCCTGTCCCCAAGACCTACATTATATGCTTCTCTCACGCACACATTCATCCCTCACAAGGCCCATGAGTTCGTTACCAGTCCAGCCATCAGTTACAGGTCCAACTGAATCAATATTTATTGTTTTGATATAATTGTTTGGAAGGAATAAAGATGACATAGTTCTGTGGTGATTTGCAGTTTTTGCTGTGTTCTTGTGTTTGGTTGAATGAGAGTGCTAGAATGTTTACTGGTGCTAGGCAACTCTAGATGACGTAGGGGGAAGTGTTACTTTTGCCTCTCTGTGACTTCTGGTCATGGTTGGTTAAATGGAATCCTTTTGACTGATAAATGTAAGATTGACCAGTATTGATATTTTCTTTCTTTTCTCCTTTCTCCTTCTCTGGCTTTATTCCTCTTTTAGGAGACTATGTTATCGTTCTCTCTTGTAAGTCTTGTCCTTCATAATAAAGCTTCTTTTTCTATCAAAAGCAAATATCCAACCATCCTATGTCCTATAATGGAGGCTTTTTTTTTTTTTTTTAATGATGTAAATAATTGTTCTTTTTATGCCCACACTTGGTCTTTCAATGTAAATAAAATTTGCAGATCATTTCTAATGAAGCAGATCCTTCTTTATCCTCTGCAACACGTTTAGTTTATTTTGTTACGAACTTGTACATGATAAGATGACCTTGATCTGAATTGGGAACGCTAGCAGTTTATAGGAGTAAAGGGCGGCTTGAAATGCTTTAATACATGGTTTCCCACTCAAACATCGTGGATGTGATCGAAATTTTTACAGTATAAGTACTTTAAGATGGTCGTTGTGCTTGTGTGTGACATGATCTTAGGCCTGTTTGAGATAGCACGAATTAGGATTAATTCTGTTCTTTTTCGTTTGTTTGAGACTCTGATCAATCCATAATGAAAGTAAGAAATTGGATTACATATTTCGAACATCTCCATTATTTCAGTAGTGATTTTTTATTTCTCATCTTTAGATAGTTAAATATGCTACTTAATAATGCAATCTGAACAAACATGTCTTTGGTGCAATTTAAGATTCTTGGCGTCTTAGCTTATGCATACTATTGTAGGCCCCCCGGAAAAAAAAAAAAAAAAAAGAAAGAGACTTACGCATACTATTGTCCTTTTTTCAGCTCCAGGACACAAAGACAACTACTGGGGAAACAGAAGTGAAATTCCAAGTTTCCAGGGATACACTAGGTTCCATGCTTAAATCTATGGCCTACATCCGCGACCAGCTATGAGAACTGTAAGAAGTATATTTTCAGCTTGTCATTTCTTGCCTCCTCCTTTCCCTTTTTCGGGGATTTTGAAACTCACAATCCCTGTGGCCAAAACCCAAAAAAAAAAAAAATGATAATAATAAGATAAAAAGAAAAAGAAAACAGCAAAAGATACAAACTTGCACCCCCACCTCCTCTAGTTTTTTCAAGTCATGGAAACTTCTTTCCGTAACGTAATTGACAACCTGATTCTATATCCTGTGAACTTCCTTGGAAATTCCTCGTAGCCAATTGAATGTAGTATATATTAAAGCTAGAGGAGTTGAATGCAAATTTTCATTTTTGAAAATCTTGGGGAGGCGAATGTAATTTACTCTAAAGATAATAATTGAATGTAATTTACTCTAAACCCTACAGGATTCTTTGTGCTGGTGGTTGTCTACAATTTTGATTCCTCTTTTTTTGGGAAAATACCACTTACGGACCTATGTGACTTTCCTTGCTATTTTCATTGCAGCAAATGAGTAATTTGGAAGATTGAATGGGAGACGAAGTGTCCAAATGGGATGGATGAAGGATACTCTCAGATCCATATGCTAAAAAACATGGTATTATTTGAGGGATTGCTGGTTGATCATCACTTCGCTGACCATTCAACATAATTATTAGGTGTAGTTTATGACTTACTGCATCCATTCCCATCAACCATGTCTATACTAGAATTAGGGGGTGTTTGGGTAAGAACAAAATTATGGTTTCAGAAATGCTTTTACGGTATACGAAGTAAATATGTGGAGGAATTTGTCTCGATTTGCAGAAAAGTACTTCTGAAAAGTGATTATGGGGTTATCCAAACACCCTTTTAGTTTTTTTCTTCTTTTTCTTCTTTTTTTTTCTGTTCCACCTGTCCATCCTTACGCACTTCCCTCTAAGCTTCCACATGTAGTACATTTGTAGATGAAATTCTGAAGATCTTGTATCCACTGCGGAGCTTTGTATATATCTCATTTTCTGGCTAAAGATGGCTACTTTTTGTCCCCTTGAGAATGAGGCCTTCCCACGTGTCAATGGCCAACGTTGACGCAATTACTACAGTAATCTTCTGTTTATATATTTTTTTTTGGGGGTTGGGAATACTGTTTATTTCTGGAGTTGTGATACCCTGCTTCGGTCATATAGATATTTCCCCTGTTTGAGAGTAGTGGTCAAAGAAGCAACCATTGAAAGAAGAGACAGCATATTCCATGCTCGAGGAATTGGCACGTTTGTAGTGTAATATTACAGTTATATCCATCCCTTATGTTGTTGGTTCCACGTAGGAGGGGCAAATTGGTGGATTTTGTAGATATGACAGTAATAGATGGCATATTCATTGATATTGTTTAAGATGATGCACATAATAAGTGCAAAACCAGAAAAGCAAGCTGTAAGTGATCTTTAACCCCTTGACACTGTGGAGTGAAGTATTCTATAATAAAAGAAGATGAGATAGTATTTTTGCCGTTGAAGTATTCCTCCGAAGCATTATTTATAATTCCATATAATGTCCTTGTTGAACTACAAAAGTTGTAGCACCGTGGTTCGTGCGGTAAACTTGAGTTGAATCTTAGGGACCAATAAAAGCTATAATTTTAAGTTCTCCTGAAAATAGCATAACTATTGTTGATAAAATTAGAGTTAATATAATTTTTAATTCCTAAAATTTACCTCCTAACTCTGATTTTCATCCTTAAATTTCAAACCATAAATTTTTATCTCTTAGTCAACAAAATAATCCAAGTTTCATTAAATTATAAGAATCAATGTTTTATTTTTTTAAAATTAAGGAGTAAAAAACTTTCGGTTTAAAACTTGAAAAATATAAACTTAAAGAATCAAAAATTAAATTAACCTATAAAATTGAGTAATTAACTATCAATCAACAAACCAAAACATTGAAACTGAGATGAAGACAGGATAATATAGTAGGAAAGCTAAAACCTTCACAGTATAACTGATGAGACAAATATAATCATAATAAACAAGTCCATGGGTCTATAATTGAACATCCCTACAACCGAAAAATGATTTCTTGAAGCATAGTGCTAATCGTACATAACAGGTCCCCATAGGCACCGCGCATGGTGTCAACAGAAAATAACATTTTATCCCTGCGATTTCTGCTTACAAATACAACCGCTCAGTCAATAAATGTGTGATGAAGATCAAACAAAGAGCCCACCAGGATTACACGTCAACTATCCTAATAAGACCAAAATGATGGCGTTTTCTCAAGAAATCTACAAACCTAAACTGGGAAAACAGTAAAGTAACCTCCTGAGGTCAAATTCCTCATATAAGATTCTTGAAACAGACCCAGAAAAAGAAAGTAGAGCAGACCAGGCCCCTCACTGAAAAGGCAAAAATATATTTGACAGGATCTTGCACTTCTGTGCTAAATGCCCCCATCTCGCCCTGAACAGCCTTCTACTGGCCAAATACGTTGAACTGTCAATCCAAAAGGAGATATGCTCTATAAACTCCGATAATCTATCACAGTGACTTCATCCTCTGGGGCATCTAGATCTTGATAACTGCACCACAATGACAAATTGGCAACCGTAAATACAAGACAAAGGTCAATCACAGACAACAAACCGTTGTATGCATATATACCCAAGCATATCATGATTTATTTGCGTTAATCAAATCTTAAGGCACAATCTTTTCCTCACTGGTCTACTTCCGACTAATGCTAAAACCCTCCCTCTCCCTCTCTATGTGGATATCTAAAACCTTCTCTCTTTTAAACGAGTTCCCTGATGATGGACAAATCCGGAGCCAAATAAGCATACTCAGGCCACTAAACTAGAAAGGGAAAAAAGGGCATAAAACATGGGAGGACTGAGGAAGTTCATAACAAGGATCATGGAAACAGAAGAATGTATAAAAAAATGCTATAAGCAAACATCTGAACAAGGTCCATCCAGGATATTTTACCTACGCATCCGCCGAGGATCTGGTCTAAAAGCTGGGGGAACGGCAATTATTGGTGCAGGACCACCCCCACCCATGTGAGGACCAGATCGCATCTTTCTTCCAGAGTTATCATATGATGATGGTCCTTGATCTCTTAACATCTGCATTGCAACTTCTGGGGGAGCAGGTACGAAAGGTCCTAAAGGTCTGTGAGTTACAAATACAGTAAGTCCTGCACTAAATCAAAATAAATACAAAGAGCATCAGAAATAAAAGAATAGGAAGAGCAACCAACCCTGCACCAGGTACAGGCATCAAGACTGGTGGAGGAGGGGGCATGTCTGCAGTAAATGGAGCAACAGCGGATCCTGGGTATGCATCATACATTGTTTCATCATGGTTTCCCATGTCAAGAGCTTTAGACTGCCGATCACGAGATGGGGAGTTCTCAGATCTATCCCCATCATTTATTCTGTCACTCCGATCATGGTCTCTTCGATTGCCACGATCATCTCTTAATCGACCTTCAAGGCCTAATCTACGCTTTAGTGGTTTGTCTCTCTACAAAAACATAGTTACCATAAGAAAATAAAAATATATCCATCATGACAAAGCTTGTTAATAAGAAATAAATTACTATGCTTAAGCTATAATTCCTCAGGTTTCACATCAGACATGCCCTCAAGAGAAAAAGTAGCAGATAATTAAAATTAAAAAATTTCACAAAATTTGTAAGTTGCTCATAAACTTTAGTCATACTTTCCCTCTTGGCATATAACCATGCGCAGAAAATATGATCAATACCTGAGGTTGCTGCATGACAGGTACCCGCCGGGAGCATTTGGATCGCTACAAACACAGGAAAGCCACTATAAGTAAATATTCCCAGCAACAATGGGTGGGAGAAAGAACCAAAAAAATGCTTACTTCATGTAGTTCTGAAAATAGAGATCCTCACGAACTTTTGAAGTTAATTCCATCACGAGGTCTGGGTGTTTAAGCTTGAGATGTTTGTGCACAAACTCAGCCGCATGAAAAAGCTTTGTGCAGCCCTTGGCCCCACAACCATACTTCCATCCATACTTTTCATCTCTAATTTTTCTAACATGTGGATCCAACACTTCAACTGCCGCAGCATCTATCTTCTCCTTAGCAGTCATAATTTCCAATGGATCCTGACCATTCAACCTTTGCTGCCAAAATGAGTCAACTTTCTTTTCCCACTCGGACCCAGACCCAGATTTATTTGTATCATCATGCCCTCCTTCAGGCCTCACATGCCTAAAACCCTTAGCCTCATTAGTCTCAATCATGCCATAATAATCCACGCCATGAATCCGCCAAAGATATGTAAGAAGCGTGTCCAGGAGTTCAATGCCTTCTAAGCCCTTGACAGATGTCAGGCCCCGTATGATTATTATGGGGCCAACAGATCCACTGTGACCCTTATCATCACTTCTATTGTGATCACTTGTGGATAAAATATTATCTTCGATTCCCTTTTCAGCATCAAGCTTGCGTACAAGGGCCTGAGCCTGTTCAATATCCATTTGTATCCGCCTAGGATCAGAACTGATTGGATGAGCTTTTGGAGCAGCTGAAAAATCATTATCTTTATTAGGTCCCCGGACATGTCTTCTTCGTTTACCGCCAGTGTCTGCTTCCTCCTCTGAATTGGGCTCACTTGCTTGACCTGATTTGCTGGCTGAAGTGGCATTCAGACCAGGATTTCTAAATTGGTAGTAATACAATGCATGCAACATTAGAAGATTAACAAAAACGGAAGAAAGGGCAGATACACAGGTGTGCATACAAAGAGTATGGGATCAAGAACATACAGATCTAGAGTTCCACTTTGCAAATCAAGCAAAAAATCCTTGGCCAGCCGTCGGGCATTTTCATTCCTCCTGAAAGATGCACCAGATAGGATTTTAACACATGAAATAAATAAGAGCAAAGTTTTTAATCACATCACCTTTGCCCTCTTTTTCTCTCTTTCAGAACTATCTGGGGGGGGGCGGGGGGGAAGACGCCCACATACAAAGGAAATAGCAATGCTCTTTAAATCATCAAGTCATGAAAATTATTGGCAAGTGTTTTTTATTTCTCATACGAAGTGAAAAATGTTAATTTAATAATGACCGGTTCTACTTTCATTGGACCAACAAACCTTGAAGCAATGCCTCCATAGGTTCATTGACTGGCCTAATCTTTCATGCACTTGTTGAAAAATACCAAGTTCAACTCCTCATAAGACAGTAAAGTCATTACAGTCTTACCTGTCGATCACTGTTAGTAAATTCATGGGATGATATTTATCTTTCAACCTGGAACAAAAATGAATACATAAATAAAATAAGATTTCTTGCACTTGTTGAGAAATATCAGCAAAATTTTGCTAGTCATAAAGCTGTACCATTCCTCATCCTTGTGAGCATTGAAATAAGCCCGTTTCTGTGTAGTGATGTACTCAGATTTGTACTCTTGATACCTAAAACAATGAAAAAGTAAATGCTAGTTAGTCAATGAATGTCCCATGAATTCTTCAGTAACAAAACAATTACAAATGAGGCAAAGGATATTCCAGAAACATACCTCCGCTCAGCTTCAGCTGGCAGTATATCATCCTCAAGCTCCTGAATGAATTGCTTATAAGACATCAAACCCTCCCTGGAAGAACTCACAGAATCATCATATGGACAGACTGAACTCTGTGTGTGTGTGTGTGTGTGTGTGTTTACGTATACACTGTCAAATAAACAGTAATCTGCAAGCAGTGCCCGCATTTGAAATCATCATTTCACAGTATAAAAATAAAATTCTTATACCAGATTATTTAAAAAATCCTCAACACTATAAGCTTTTGACATAAATTCCCAAGTCCTCAATGATTAATATACAAGTATATTTGCATGTTTGATGTGTTTCTTACCTAACCTACATTTCCATTGACAATATTCCTTAATCTCTCCGTGATGAAAAGTGTATAATAAGATGCATGACATGCAATGATATGAAGCTCACCTTTGTGCACTGCCACCTGGCAAATCTGCAAAACCGCGATTTGGTTCCATGTCTGCAGAAATCAGGCGTGCAAAACATATGAAAACAAACAATAATGAGTAGACTGTTTATGACCAACTAGCATAAGACAACAACCCTTATTCTAATTAAATTGGTCATACTTCATTGTGCAGTTAAATGTATAAAAGCCTACAAAGTAATTGAAAGTTAGAAAGAGAAAACCTTCAGTTGAAACATATATAACAGAGGAAAGAAAAGGAATATTAAAATTCCTCAGAAAGAGATATCAAATTTTTGTTTAGCAGAATGTTATGTAATCATAGAATATTGGATTGGGGTTATGGGGTGGTCACTAATTCAATAAGCCACGTGGTTATTAATGTGCTAACTAATCCAAATCACAGCATGATACATGTAGACATTGATTGTCACTTGAGTGCTTGGATATTACGTGTAACATGAGTTATTATGCTTGATGTGATATTGTATTCAGAGTGGACAGAATGATCAGCATAACTAAGCTAGATTCAGAACGAAGCAAGATACTTGATTAAAAATCATTTACATTACACAACATGAAAACCATGATTCAGTTCTGGTAACATACCTGACATCCCATTTTGATACCCTGGTACCGATCGGTGACCAAATCTGCCATAAGGCCTCTCATCAGCATAACCAGGTCTTCCACCTATTCCACGTTCATAGCCACTAAAATAATCATAGCCAAATCTGCTTTGTCCAAATAATAAGGTAATGTGAGGAAAATATCAAAACTTCAAAACTAAGTGTGATGAATAGCATAGGGTAGTAAAAGGTGGGAAGAGGATTCAGAAGGGCACAAATTTAAACAGGAGAAAGGAAACACAAAGAAGTCAAACATACTTGTACACACTTTTCTAAAGCAACAAACACGAAGGACAAAACCCTACCATCCAGTGCATCTACTGAATAAAAATATAACAGAGATAAAACAAAATCAATATAATGGTACATTGTTTCTTGTCATATACAACCCATGCTTTCGAAAAGCAAGATATTAGAAACGCGAGACTAGAGAAGTAGGCAGACACAAAGAGTCACCACAACTTTAGATGTAAATGACCGAGAAAACTCTGCAATTTCTTTAGGCAACTTACATGACTTATTGTGAAACATTCCAGAGAGAAACACTCAGTTGAAAAAAAAAAAAAAATCCCTGGTTACCACCTTGAAAAAAACACAATGAACTTTTTCTTTCCTCTTTCTAAATGACGACAACATATACACACATGCATAATTTTTAATGGAAATAACATGTGGCTAAAATAAGTCATGTAAGGCTGTAATAATAGCCTCATAAGGGCCACCAAAATGACCAAGGTATCGATGCATCTTGCTCCTACCCTAGTTAGCATGGCTAAGGAATTGATTAATTACTCAATAAATAAATGAGCAGCAAATTCAAACTAATAAACTCGAACAGCAACTGCAGGGGGAACTAAATAGAAGAGATATATCATAGCATTTCTTTTTCTCTTTTGAACCAGATTTGAAGTATAATTGATTTCCCACAATTGGCACTCTTTAGAAATGAGATAGAGAATACCTATTATATAGAGTTCAAACTTGTAGGAATGATTTACAATAATTTCTCTAGTTTTCAGTTCCATGCATTTATTTTAAACTTAACGACATAAGCAAATTGCTGTCTATGCCTGGAAGTAGACACCCATCAGCTCCATCAAGTACATTAGCAAGTAGCTCATTATTTCAATCCAATTCGCCTACTTACTAATCAATAAAACTACAGCAGTTTCAATTAAGTGTAGAAGCAATTAAACAGGCTAAAGCTCCCTTAACCTGTCATCAGGTCCATATCCGCCACGGGGACTCCCCCTTCGGGATCGCTTATAGGGTGGAGGGGAGCGCCGAGAAGGAGAATAACGTCGGTCACGATACGGGCTGGGGCTTCGACGGCGTTTGAAGTCCCTATCTCTGTCTCTCGGAGGCGGCGGGGGCGACATATTCCTGTCATAGAAATCACCCCCACGTCGATTCGGATGTCGATCATAATCCCTATCATCCCTTCTATCCCTGGGATCCCTATCCCTTCTCCGGGGCGCCGCTTGTGGAGGGGGATGCGACTGTGCTGAGGTGGTCGGCGGAGGCGGGGGTAGGTCATCATCCCCGGCCGCAGTGGCAGAAGGCGCCGGTGCCAAAGCAGTAGCCGGAGTAGCGGATGGCGAAGCCGAGGAAGGGGATTTGTCGAGAGAATCGGGAGGAATGTTCATTACATCCGCCATGTGAAGATAAGGAAGAGGAGAATGATAGCTCTAAAGGGATGAGCCCTAGAATACCCTAGAATACAGGGAAAGAGAGCGGAGAACAAGAATTGGAGAAAATTGGCAGAGAAAAGGGAGCTTCGAAACCCTAGAGAGAAAGGAGGACAGTATCCTTGTGGCAATCGTCGCCGTCGTCGTCGTCTTCTTATTCCTCTACGGTCCAGGGGGGTCACGTTGGAGCTTCGGACTTTGCCTTTCTAGCATATCCAGCGCATCAGGGTGCATAATAATAAGGATGATAAGTTAACATGTACGGGTTGATTTGATGTCACATCAATTGTTTATATTTATAGTTTTTTTAATTTATTTATATTTATATTTTCTTAATCATAATTATAATTAAGTAGGAAAGGAAAAATATTAAGAAAGATAAATATAATATTTTAAAAAATATCATAATTTTTATAATTAATTAATAATTTATTATTTAACTCTTTTTAATATAATTAAATTAATTAAATATGTCTTACATTAAAAATCGGAGAAGTATGTACATACAGACACACTGTGTTACATATGTGTGTGTATATATTTTGCCAACACACGGTATGTATATACACCATAGAAAAATAATGCTCTTTTTTTTAAAAAAATTAATTCCTTAGTTTTACTCAATATTTATAGTTCATGTTCCTTTTGGGTAGGTTGAAAAGATGAGAGAGAGAGAAAATGTGAAACAGAAAACTAGACATAAAATATTATCACCCTTTCTAATTAGATATACGAGAGAAAATATATTAAAAAAAAAGAGTAAACATCTAAATAATTAAAATACCCTTCTGTGTAAGCATATATCATCTTTAAAATTAAATCAGACATCACAATGCATCGTTCTAACCTTACTATCATCATGTCAATTTAAAACCAGATTATTTGGTAAAGATATATTTTCATGATATTCTATTTTAAAACCTAATTTTTCAAGATAAAAATAAAAAGAGATAATATTTTGAAATTAAATATAATAAAAGAAATAAACAAATTATATCTCATCTAACATTATTAACAAATATTAAAAATATAATATTAAAATGAATGGGTTAAAATGGACATGATAGCGTGAGTAATTGATTTGATGAAAAGTGTTAATTTTTTAAAGTAAAAATAAAATGTTGATAATTTTTTAAAATTAATTATAACAAAAATAAATTAATTAATTAATTAATAAAAAGGGGACAAAGACGGAAAAAGGAGAAAAATTATGAGGAACGAACATATCCCTGAAAGTATTTGAAGTTTTGATGAAAGCACACAGGAGAAAAATGAACAAGTAAGAAAAAGAATGCGTTCACACCGAAAAAAATAAAAAAGCAGAATATGATTGTGCCTCTGAGGGCCGATAATCCAAAACAACTTTTCATCCAATTTTCTACGAAAAAGTAAAAGAGAAAATGCGATAGCTCTTGTACTTTATTTTTTTCTCAATTTTTTTTCTCTCATCCAAATAAGAGAAAATACACATCTCCCCTCATTTTTTTTCTGCTTAGTTTTCTTTCCTTCTCCTTTTTCTCTTCATCCAAATAAGGTGTAAATTTTTGTAATTTTTATTGGTTTTGTATTTTTTAAGAGAAGAAGGGGTCAAGTTGTTTATATTTATTGGTTTAAGTTTTTGGAACAACATGGCAACACTTATTATTTTGACACTGTAAAACGTTAAAATACGTGTATGTGCTTGTAAGTTTACTTGTGATATTTTGAAAATTTTTGTATAAGTTTTTGTAATGTAAATTTTTATATAAACACTTACTACTTCGTTATTGTTAGTTATTAAAATGCGTAGATAGACTTGTAAATTTGATACAATGAATATAAATAATTTAACGTAAATTTTGACTGCTATTTTATTATATCCATTAATCTCTACGGCTAAAATCTGTTACTTTGAGCTCTCGTATTGAAAATGAGAGATTGAAATTGAGATTGTAATTAAAAAATTATGAAAATAGTATTTAGCATAAGTAATTGCTTATTATATGGATTAGACAAACCATGAAAATTGGACTGGGGAATATCACATCTCCCCATAGTATTCTCCAATCTACGTACATGGGTTTGGCTAATCCCACGTAATAAACAATCTCTTATAATAAACATTCTTTTAATATTTTTCTCAATTACAGTACAATCTCAATCCCTTATTTTTAATGCTTCTTACCAAACGCAACCTGAGAGTAAACAATGTTACCGGCTGCCGAGATAACTAACAAATTTAACTCTTGCGTATATTATAATAGCCACATATAGATTTTTTTTTCTGGAAAAAAAAAACATCAGAAGCTTTTAAAGGCGCCAAAGAAGGGAGAAGAACCAAATTGTTGCAGAAAAGCAAAAGCTTTCGAATAATAAGTTGAAGCAAAGAAAAATAATTTTTCCCCAAAAAAATTTAGATAATATGTTCAATGCATGATACATATTCTGCATGTTCAGCCTCTCACATATTAATATTTCTTCAAGCTGGAAACAAATATTTAGTCTCAATTTTTTCTGCATGCACTGAATTGTGCTGTCTGTTAGCTTGATAGGCACAGTAATTAAGATGGACTTGTAACTAGCTTTCAGCTACCACATAAGCGTTACAGCTAGGTCGCTTTAGTATGACATGTAGAGGTATAAGTTCCTAATTGTCATTTAAGAAATTGGGTTAAAATTATCTCTAATTTTTCAAGTTTGTCTTCGTTTTTTGTTTCACAAATTTTAAATTATAGGTTTTGGTTCCTCAAAAGACAAAATAGTCTTGATTTATAAGAATCAATATTTTAAATAAAAAGAAATTTAAAAAAAAACCAAAATCAAAATAAAAGCAATTTTGAGTAACTAAAAATTGTATTAACCCTTAAAAATTTCGTGGCACGAATTCTCCTAGTTTAGCAGTCGACTTTGTTTGCTCCTACGCTATGAAATCTAAAGAAAGCTTCTATCTTCCGTTCTAAATATAAGAACTAGTTTACTGTAAAGTATTACAAAAGCAGAACATGATTGTAGGGGAAACTACGATGGGCGGAGAGAGGAAAGGACTACGTCCTGCAGAGAGCTGTCTCTCTGCATGGCAGCTTTGAATTCTTCAAAGGTGACTTTTCCGTCACTGTTGGCATCCATGAGGTCAAATATCTCATCTAATTTGCCTGGTTCGAAGATGTCAGCTGGCAGGCAATCATCTGGCAAAGCCTGTTCGATAAAGTCAAATGTTAAAAAGAAGCAAGCTACAAAGGGAATATAGTTTTATTGAATGGAAGGTTCATTACCGTTAGCATGGATGCTACTTCTTCCTTGGTAATGCACCCGGATCGGTCTGCGTCATACATCTGTTGTCCAAAAGACAATGGGCAAATTACCACAAGAAAAGAAAAAAGAAGAAGAAGCAAGAGGCAAATTAAATCAGCTAGTTCAGTTCTTCTTCTTGTGCTATATAGGTTCTGTGAGGGCTTTTCAGTGATAGAAAGGTTTCTTTACTTTTTCATGTTATTTCAGGATGCATTTCCTGCGGAAAGCGGGTGTTAACTAACTCAAAATTAATGCTATAAACAGAATTTGACCACTATGTGGCCTCTAGTATTTTCAAAGAAAAGATTGCAATGAAATTTCAAGTAAAAAACATAATTACTAAAATGTTCTGTTAATAGCAAAATAACCTGTAATGACTAGTTTTATATTAGTAAATGTCAACCGTTCACTTTTTATTGAGACTTACTAATAATTATTTATTTTTTGTGGGGACCTCATTGTCATGGGGTATGTTAGAGGTTACAATGAAAACTACTCATAATCATTCCCTTTAGCATAAACTTTTTAGCTGAAATGGACTTTGACAACTATGAAATTGGTCAATGCGAAATCAAACTACTACCTCCGGTCTTAATTATAAGAGCCAGTTGACTAATTTGAGAAGATTAAGGAAGTAAGTTGAGTTAGTTATTTGCCCTAAATAGGTGTTGTTTTTCCTAAAATATCCTTATTAATCAAATGTATTGACTAAAACTATTATTGTTAGAAGGGCTACTTTGAAAAAAAAAATATAAATATAAAAGACAAAGTGGATTGGGGTCTTATATTTAGGACCAAAATAAAAGTCAAACAAAGTCTTATGTTAAGAGCCGAAGGTAGTACTTGTTTTTACTTGTTATAAAATTTATATGACTAGTTGAAACTAGGACAAGAGAACCTCAGCATGGTTAAGTAATGACAGAGCAAACAGTATAAGAGCTAGCGGTCAATTAGGATACCCCCTTATCTTTATTTGCGTGAAGCCGAAGTGGTTAATTAGGATATTCCCTTTTCCCTTTTCATCAAAAGTTTCACGTCATCATTGCATCTTATTAAAGATCACACTAACTCTGGTCCTAAATATAAGAGTTAGCTGACTAATTTGAGGAGATAAAAGAAGTTGCTACATTACTTAATTATAGCAATTTTTACATAATCTCTCTAAAATACTTATATGTATTATTAGATTATATATCAATTTATAAATAAAGCAAATTAGTCTGAGAAAAAATTATAAATATAAATACTTTAAAATAATTTAATAACTTTCTTGACCTCCTCAAATTAGTTAATTGGGTCTTACATTAAGGATCCAAGGTAGTATTTGCTACATGTATTTGAATTAGATAGAGCATGAAAGGGTCACCTGGAAGCAGAGACGGAGAGCATCATCACCCTTTGAATTCTTAAGGCTGGAAAATCCACAGAGTATTTCACGCATGTCAACTGTTCCATCTTGATTGTTGTCAAATATGTCAAATATGCGTGGTGCCAGAGGGATGAGTGATGGCATATTCATTGCTTTTAGCACCTCCTCAAATTCTGGGAGAGTGGCATGGTCTCTATCTGCACAACTACCAAATACCAAAACCATTTGAAAAAAAAATGTCAAATAGCAGTTAGACTATTGGAGGGCTCATGTCAGCTTCATCAATAGCAGGTTAAGCATTATAGTTCAGAAATCTAAAATCCTATTTGGTACAAAGCATTGAGAATTAGAAATGAGAATTGAGTTGGCAATTGAGAAAACTCATTAAAAAAGTGTTTCATATGAGTGATTGCTTATTACTTGAGATTTGGCAAACCCATTCCCCTATGTAGGTTTGTCCAATCCTAAGTAGTAAGTAGTCTTTAATATTAAACACTCTTTTGATATGTCTTTTCAATCTCAGTCCTAATTTTTACTTATCATTCTCAATGCTTCGTACCTAAGTAGTAAGCAGTCTCTAAGGGTCCTTTCCAAAGTGCTGGGCTATATCAGGGAAATCCTATTTCCAATTCTGAGTACTTACATTTTCTTGAAGTGTATCTTGAGATTTTCAATTTCCTCTTGTGTAAGATCATAGGTTCCCAACAAGGATTTCAAATTTTTAATTCTCAAGAATACTGTACTGCTCCATAAACTAGCAATTGCAGCAGCACGGAGTTTGCGGCGAGCATTAAATTTTTGCAATCTGTCAACAATCTCAGGATCCATCTGGTCACCTTTAGCTATTTCTCCTCTGACCCATGGATGAGTGAGAAGCTGTTCAAAGAAATAGCACAGGAGGCATGCAGTGTTTAGAATTCTCATCCACTCTGTTAATGAACTGTTATAAGTTTAATGGCATGTCAGATTTATTTACTTATGATGTTTGAAATTGATTGTGGGGAGCAAAATTGGCTTGTCTACGACAATCATTTGAGATAAAAACATGGAGAAACTACTGCTTTGTTGAATAGGAAAAAAGATTACCTCCAGAGCACTAGGTCTCTTATGAGGATCAACGGCTAGGAGACTTGAAATCAAATGCTTTGCTGATGAGGAAATGGTCTTCCAAGTCTTCTCATAGAAACTGAAACTCCCCTGATGGAATATATATACATATATATAAATATACATATATATATATTTCATTTTTAATCACAATGAACTATGAAGGAACAAGAAGCAAGGTGTATGCATATGGATGATGTCTCTGATAAGGCCACAAAAGAGCAAAATTCAAGAATGTACTTTGACATGTATGTCTTGATATATTGCTAATTATTTTTTATTCTTCTGGTTTCCTGGAAATTACGCTCTTAATCTTGCTGAGATGTATCTTACTTACAGTCATGATCATTTGTTGCTTTTGGCGATTGGACTGAGCGATGAAAGGCGGATACCTGCAACATTAAAGAAGGTTATGTGCTGCATTTTGATGTCTTATATTAGGAATTGAAGAATTGCTTTGAAGTCCTAAATAAGAAACATAATTACTTAAAAAGTCTCAATGATAACAGAGCAGTCTACAATGACAACTTTTAGTATAGAAAATAACGATTGCTCACTTATTATTAGGACTTATTAGTAATTATTTCTTTTTCTGGAGACTTCATCATGATTCTCCCTTGAGCATGTAGTAACTCAGAATCGATCTTTTCTGGGCAGGGTACAGGGGGATGGGACTGACACAACTGGAAAATTCTTTAGGTGTCTAGTCTTAGATCAAGCCAGTAATGAATAGATACACAAGCATGTTAGCCATATTTTCTCTGACATGCTTACATGTCTCTTTATGGTTGGTTCACCTACAAGTATTCTGTAGGGTTGGATCTACTCAAGAGTCTCTTGGCAAAACTATAACATTTAGGAAAACAAAATGCTTACCCAGAGAGTAAGATATAAAGAATCACTCCCACAGACCACATGTCACTCTTATTAGTAATCTTTCCTTGAGAAAGAGCCTCTGGTGAAACATAATCAATGGATCCAAACAAACCAACAACTGGGTCAGTAAATTCCTCCACAGAACTCAACCCAAAGTCCATGATCTTCAGAGGAGAATCCTTTCTACTGTCCAGGAACAAGCAATTCTCAGGCTTCAGGTCCCTGTGCACAATATTTGCTTTGTGAATAGCCTCCAGTCCTCCTGCAATCTGATGAATTACAGCTGCAGCTTCTGCTTCTGAGTACTTCTCTTGAGCCACAATCCGATCAAACAGCTCGCCGCCTGAACAAAGCTCAAGAACAAGATGAACTCCATTTGAGTCCTCAAAAACATCATAGAGGTCAATCACATTTGGATGAGGTGAAACGTTCTCTACTATCTTCCTCATGACCAAGATCTCATTGGTGAGTAAAGCATCTGATATTGAAACTTGTCTCCATGTTGGGAACCCCATGGCCATGGCAGCTATGCTAGTCTTATTACCTTTCTGAGTTTTTGGAAATCCAAAAGGATCAGAAGATGTACCTACTCTTCTGAGTGTTTTTATGGCTACCTGGGTTTTTTCACTGCCTGATATTTTAATGCCTTTTCTGACAACAGAAAATCCTCCTCTTCCTAAGATCTCTGAAACTTCATATTCATCTGACAGCTTTCTGGTTTCCATCCCCATGATAACGGTTGGTGCTCTTGAAGCCTCAGAAAGAAATTGCAGGGAGAAGAAAGGAAGGAACCAGAAGAGAATATTAAAGAACTGGTACGTTCAATGATGAAAGAGAGGATTTGAAAACGCGTTTTGGTTGAGATTGACATTAGCCTGTAAGAGTTCTTGTGTTGGTTTGTAACATAAAATATGAAGGAAATTCAGATAGGTCCATAGAATAAAGCCTAGAGGTTAGTAGTTGTTTTAGAATAGACAAAGGGAGAGTCAACTGCCTTTGCAATTATAATTTAATATTCCATGGGCCAAAAGAACAAAAATTATAGTAATATTTAGAAGTTTATGCATTCAGCAATCAGCCAAAAGGAAACAAGAAAAGAAAGTATGAAAGGGCAAAAAAAAAAAAAAAAAAAACCAATGCAAAAAAATTTTGCTAATAATTTTTTTTTCTTTTATGCACATTTTAAAAAGTAAGTTGCAGAATTTGTGGTTTGGAAAGAGTGTGATTCCTCTTATAAATTTGAACTGAATGGTGATAGCTAGATTAATAATTGGTTTGAAAATTCAAATCCATTTTGTCAAGAATCAGGTTGGCGCAAATAAAATTAATTCCAAGGTAAAAGGGAAATTTTCAGCAAATGAAAAAAAAAATTAATTGAATTGAGTTAACGTTACCCCATGTTTGATATGAGGAAATAAGAAGAGAAGAGAGGAAAGGAAAATTTTTAATAAACTCGAATTAAAAAATTAGAAAAGTGGGGTTATAAAATTTTGGCAAAAAATAAGATATAAGATAAAAAAAAAGCAAGCAAAATTAACTTAAAGTTCTTAACCCCACTTCTCTAATTTTTTAAATTGAGCTCATTAAAATTTTCTCTCTCCTTCTATTTCCTGCATTTTTCTCATATCAAACAAACCCTTAAAGATCAACAGTAAAATTTTTCCACCGAAAAAGGGGAAATATCAATCGTGAAATTTCAACGCATCAAATAAGTATTGCTGAACTATTAAATCAGAAATAAATTTCAGTAAGTTATAAGGATTTTCTCAAAATTTTGTTAAAATTATGTGAGTTCTATCATATGGGTTCTCTATTTATGTTCCAACATATGTAAGCTTTTCTTCAAACTCAAAAGACAATGGTAACTTATATCTTTGTCTACTTTAAAATTTCTTATTAAAGAATACTTTCATAAGAAGTTTAAAATAATGTTAAAGTTACTGGTAACTTTTTTATTTCAAAGAAAGTTTATACATATCCTTAAAAATAAATAAAATATTGTAACTTTGCTAAATTTTTATTCAAAAAATTGTACTTCTCTAGTCTTTAATATAAGACCTAATTGTTAAGTTCATTTTGGTCCTAAATATAAGACATATTTCTCATATTTATCAGTTTTTTCTAAATTATCCTTATGGATACTCTTTCAACCATACTTAAGTGAAAGGGGAAATATTAAGAAAGATAATTATGTTGTCTTAGGAAAAACATGTCATATTTTTTATAATTAACTAACTTACCTAATTTTCTTAATCTAATAAAATTAGTTAAATAAGTCTTATATTAAGGATCGGGTAAGTATAATTTATTCTAACGTATTAACACATACCATGTATAAGTTGTCTTTTTCTCTTGCCGAGGAGGCATATTCCAGATGAATAGTTAGCTAGGCATGAATTATAGATGTTAATAAAAAATGGGTAAAGATTGTGTGTAGAAAGCGATTGAAGTTTGAGATGTGTTGGTTCAAATTTTATCAAATAATGACAAAATAAATGAAGAGAAGAATATAATCCTAAAAATTATAGAAGAGAGAATTTTAATTGAATTATATAAACTCAAAATATAAAAAGCAAAATAATTATATATAAATTTTACATTTTTATTATTATTTTTAATTAAGACAAAATAAGCATATAACTCTCACTAGAAAATGTAATAAAAAATAAAAAACAAAAGGGGTTGAGTCAAGTAAAATATACTTGATTCCTCTTAAATAAATTTAAGGTTAGTGGTTGATATTTTAGGGATAAAAAATTATATTAGTAGAATTACTCCAAATTGGAGCTAATAATAATCAAATATAACTCCAGTAATTTCACCCAAAAAAATATAACTCCGATAATATTAAATATCAAATAATTGTATACAAAAATTAATAACATTCCTTTTGATTTCAAATGTAAGAGTTAATTAGGAGTTGGTTTTGTTATAAATATAAGACTCAATCTATTTTATCACTCCAAATTTATAATGTTTCCCTCAAATTATTCATATTATTCATATATATTAAAGAAAAAATTTATCAGAATAGTTTAAATGTATATGATAGAAAGGGAAACTTTAAGAAAATTAACACATATTTTCTAAAAGTAATTAACTTAATTTTTCTTAATTTTTATGAATTAACTCTCTAACTTTTATGTTTAGGACCAAATGGAGTTAAAATATGAGAAACTATACAAAAGATGTTCTTAAATTGCAGTTATGAAAATAATAAAGACCTTATCAGATTAATGATCCTTGGCTTGACAATAAATTATTAGTTTCAAAGTTAAAAAAAATAAAAAATAAAATGTGAATGAACCACAGTCAAAATTAAAAGAACAAACAAGGACCTAACCAGGCCTAAATAGAAGGGGAAGATACAGATAGTCCAAAGTCGTGAGTAAAACAAACACGGGAGAATGTTACGTCAACATTTTGGAGATAAGATAATTAAGTACTTGTTCAGTCCTTAATATAGGATTTAATTATTAAGTTAATTTTGGTTCTAAATATAAAACATATTTCTCATATTTATTAAATTTTTTCTAAATTATCTTTCTGTATACTCTTTCAACCATAATCAAGTAAGTAAGGAAGAAAGGATATTAAGAAAGATGATTATGGTGTTTTAGGAAAAACATGTCATATTTCTTATAATTAACTAACTTACTTAATTTTTTTAATCTAATCAAATTAATTATATAAGTTTTACACTACCTCCGGTCCTTAATATAAGACCCCGTTTGACTTTTAGTTTGGTCCTAATTATAAGACCCCAATCCATTTTGTCTCTCATATTTATGCATTTTTTCCCAAGATAGTCCTTCTAATAATGATAGTTCTAACCAACACACTTAATTAGCAAGGATATTTTAGGAATGACAATACTTATTTGTTACAAATAACTAACTTAACTTAATTCCTTAATCTCCTCAAATTAGTCAACTGAGTCTTATAATTAGGACCGGAGGTAGTATTAAAGACCGGAGAAGTATATTATTTTTTTGGGGACAAACTGCGTTATAAATCAATATATCGGTATCAAAGGGGAATGGGTACACATATTATTATTTTACTGATTATTTATTTCTTATCAATGTGATATCTTTTAAATAATTAATTAATTTTCAAATTTCATATGTTTTGGAGAAAATTTTTAATAAAGAGGAAATTGCGAATAGAGAGAGTAAGAAAGTTTAACTAACAACAAGAATACTAAAATTTTCTCAAATTTTCTCTTTTTTAAAAAAAATTTCTCTTCTCCAATTTTTTTATCTCAACTTTTTTCCATCGAACGGAGGGTTAGAATATGATTCTCCAGTCATATGATAACAAATATACCAGTATCGCTCTCCATTAATTTACCCTCTAATTCTAATTTATCTAATATATTTTAATTTTTTTTGGGCTTTCAAATTTTAGATATCCTCAAAATCTTTAATTCCCATCTAGTTACTAATCAATGCCAAATATAAACTATTCTAGTTGTTAAATAGTTGAGACTAGCATATTAATGAACTGTTTTAAAATTAATAGTATACCGACGGCCATTTGGTCGAGTGATACTTGTATGTATGTGTATTGTAATGTGGGTTCGAGCCCGCCTTGTATCATAAAAAAGAAATTAACTAATGTCATAAAATATTAATAGTGTTAATTGAGGGTCAATGACTAATAAAAATTGTTCTCAATTATGACAGAGTTTTATAAATGATTAGATTTTCATTTTGTTTGCAAGAGGTTGTATGATTATGGAGAACATGGTGTGCTTTAAGGTCAGCTTAATCTCATGCTTACTCATTGATAAGAGAGAACAATTAAAAAACTTTAAAAATTCAACACTTAGTTGTATAAAGAATAATGAGGTCAAAAAGATTCATTCAATGCAGACGCAACCAATGATTGTTTTTCTCGTTGACGAATTTGATTACTACCTTAAATTTCAGTATTTAATTTCTGGCAGTGTGATAAAATACATTTGTTACTCGTAACTCATGATTGGAGAGTGAAGACTATGAAATATGCGCACTGTTTTATCTGATTAAAATGGTTCCACATCTACTTATAACTAAAATGATAGGGTGAAATGTGTTGATTGAATTTTTAATGCGTATAAAGTAATAACTTGTAGAGTAAAATAATTGATTTACTTTTTTAGGTATGAATATGAGTAACGATTTTTTTTAAAAAAGGTTATTATCTATAAAATTATGAAATAGCAAAATGTGAAATAAAATAAGTTGTTGTTTAGATTTTTATTTCTATGGGATGAACTCTAGTTAGTATCTAATGAAATCTAGCTATTAAATGTTGTGAATGGATAGAATTGTTGCTTGCTAAACAAAAATTATTATTATTTTTAGTAGAGTCTAATCAATACTGGTCTAGGTGTTGTAATTTGTAAATGAGTGGTCTTGTCACTTGATAAATAAAAGTTGTTAATTTCTTATGAAGTCTAGTTAATACCCATATAAGTATTGTAAATGATCTGTAGTTTAGGTAAACAAGTTAATTTATATATTTATAGGATAATATCAACAAAGTTTACTAGCTCAATAGTCATCTTTAATTTCGGGATGCAAGTGATGAAAGGATTAAATACCACCAGCACCATTTACCAAAAAAAAAAAAATTCACAGAGATGCCGGCCAGGAGTTGTTTAATTTTTTTTCCCCACAAATCAGGATATACTTGTTTTTTTTTTTGAATTCCAAAATGTCAATTTGGAGTTGGTTCTCTTATTAGAATTTATATTAATTGCAGTACCTTTTCTGGAATTATAAAATTTGCAGGTTTTTATTGCCATTTTCCCCCATTAATTATTTAAGTGTGCTTTCACCTACTTGGACAAAGAGGCTAATACATAGACTAAAACAAAAAAAAAAAGAAATTAAAATATAAATGGCAGAAATTAGTGTTGGAAAAAAATCTAATTGAATTCAAAATTTTGAAATTAATCTCATTTTTTAGCAAAGAAGTTAAGGGGAAAAACATTCAAATACTCCCAAAAATGCTAAAGGATAAATTAGAATAGGTGAATTTCAAAATTCAAGTAAAACCCCTTGTACTATTTTGAAAATTTAAAATATTATGAAATAACTTTATTTCAGTAACTATTTCATATAGTTATTGACTACTCTAGTATAACTATTAACTATTTTGTTTTCAAAGTTTTAGTGACTTCTTTTGTATTGTTATTGACTATAAAAGAATAGTAAATAACTAAATAACAAATAGTCACTAGATTTCCGACAACACTTAATACATTTTTTGAATTTTTGAAACAAAAAAGTCAATAGTAAACTAGAATAGTCAATAGCTAAATAGGAGTAGTCACAAAATTTTGAAAATGAAAGTAGTCAATTACAATATTAGAGTAATTAGTAGCTAAACAAAAGTAGTTATCAGAGTTCTAAAAATAAATATAGTCAATAACTAAAAAAAGTAATCAGTATGTAAGAAAGAGTAGTTATCCGAGCTTCATTGATCGGTCACCGAAGTTCCGGTGACATGTCGCTGGAGCTCTGACAGCTGGCCACCTGTAGGGTCATTAGCGTTGGAGTTTCGACAACCAGAAGTAATGAGGTGGCAATATTTTTTTTTAAAAAAAGTAAAGACTATTTGTGTAATTTTACAAGATTTAAAAATTTCAAAATAGTACAAAGAGTCTGAATTGGAATTTTAAAATTCACCCACATTGATTCATTCATTAGCAATTTCTAGGTTATTGTATTATCTTTTTCCCAAGAAGTAATCTCTGCATAACAAATTAATTATATGAATGACACTTCTTAAATTTCAAGATCATAAAAAAAAACTTAATTGAAAATAACATAGATCATATTGATTGATTTGAAATAAGCATCCAATAATTAATTTCAGAAATTTAAATTGAACAAGTCAACTTTAAAACGAATTGATCATTAATTGGTATCTTATCCATTATTAACCCATTATTTATTCCATTTAACTAATTTGAGTAGATTAAGAGAATAAATTAAGTTAGTTATTTGCAATAAATAGGATTTGTCTTTCTTAAAATATCCTTGCTAATCAAGTTTATTAGCTAGAATCACCATTATTAGAAGGACTATCTTAAAAAAATAAATAAATATAAGAGGCAAAGTGAATTAGAAAATATTTAAGACCAAAATAAAAGTCAAACGAGTTTATATTAAGGACCAGGAGGTAGTACTCTTCCGATCCTTAATATAGAACCTAATTGTTAAGGTAATTTTAGTTTAAATATAAGACTTATTTATCATATTTATCATTTTTTTAAATTACCCCTATTAATATCCCTCAAGTATAATTAAGTAAAAAAAAGATATTAAGAAAGATGATTATGGTGTATATAAAAAATATGTCATATTTATCATAATTAACTAATTTACCTAACTTTCTTAATCTAATCAAATTAGTTAAATAGGTCTTATATTAAGAACCGGAGGAATAGTTAGTTAACATCAATTTCTAGTTTTTTTTTTAAATTATAACTTACACACCCATTATATTTTGAACTATAACTTCAAGTTTAAGAAGGAAGGTGTTCGATATCAGTTTAGACTATAAGTTTACACGTTTTTCAATATACTACCTCTGGTCTTAATAGAATATTCTGTTTGACTTTTATTTTGTATTAAATATAAGACCTTAATTCACTTTGTCTCTCGTATTTATTAATTTTTTAAGACAATCCTTCTAATAATTATAGTTCTAGTTAATACACTTGATTAGCAAGGATATTTTGGGAAAGAAAACACCTATTTAGGATAAATAACTAACTCAATTTATTCTTTAATCTTTCAAATTAGTCAACTGGCTTTTATAATTAGGACCGGAGGTAGTACTCTAGTAACCTGAATTCTTATCAGAGTATTAATTTAAAATAAACTAAATGTGATGCACATGACCTGAGTTCATGTTTTAATTTTTTATAGATTGATATGCATATTAATAGTAAGTTCATGAATTATATACTTTATATACACACACGTCTGTGTATTTGTATGGGTGTCTTGGTAACATGCTGGCTTAAGCCGAAAACTCAATTATTCAATAATTTTGGGCCAATTATAGCACTTGAAAAGTTGGATGCCCAAGCCCTTGGTGAGAGGATAGATGATGTAAATATTTATAGGAAGCGTGTAACAAGAAAAATAATCATAGGAAGCTAATGATTTATCGCTAATGGCACTCCCTTCTAAACTCTTAATTTGGATGCAAAGGGAAAAATAAATAAAAAATTTACTATTTTTTAAAGTTTTTTCTAGTGTTTTCTCATCCTTATTTTTCTTCCATTTTCCCCTCCATTTAAATCCAGCCTAAATGTATGAATTAGTTGATCATTTTATTTTGGTTCTTAAAGTAAGGCATCGTTTCACTTTTAATCTTCTAAGTTGACTTGTATTTTCTGTTTATTTGTATTAATTTTTTGAAAAATTCATTTTATTAATAAATAATATTTTTTACTTATGATAAATGTTGACTTTTATACTTATTGAATTATACAAGCAAATGTTTGAAAATCAATCACACAATGCATAATTCTGTGGAAAACTTCGCAACCAATTAAAGAAGAAACTCTTTCGTATTATATGATATAAAATTTAGGATTAATGTGCAAATTTATCTAAGAATTTTTTTTTACTCAAAAACAATATTGTGTTAAAAGTTTTTTAAATTTAAGATTATTATAAAAGTATTAAAATAGAGCAATATTAGTTCTTAACGTTAAAAATGTTAACAATTCCATATCAATATTTAATACTCTTTCGATTCTTAATATAGGACCTAATTGTTAAGTTAATTTTGATTCTAAATATATGACATATTTTTCATATTTATCAATTTTTTCTAAATTGCCCCTATAGATACTTCCTTAATTATAATCAAATAAGTGAGAGAGGAAGGATGTTAAGAAATATGATCTTATATCAAGGACCGGGGAGTAGTTAACACTAATTTTTTTTAACTGACAACACTAATTTTTTTAATGAGAGAGGACAATGTGAGATATTTTAATTATAAATTTTATATTATATTATATTATTTTGTTTTAATTAAAATATCCTGAGTGTGGCTCGTTAATCAGTTAGGCCTAATTTAGGTAGGTTTTAGACTTAGTGCTTTTTAGTCATTTCTTAACCTTGATTGTGGGTTGAGTTTTGACTGCTGACTAAGTGAGCATTTGAAGAAAACCTAATACATGGTTCTTGAGGTTCCTTGACTGGTAGCGGCTCTTTCCCAATTCCATTACTGTGTCCACTTCTTAGTTAGAAGAGATCCTGACATCTTTTCTATTAATAATATTTTATGATTTCAGTATCTAATCCCGATAAAAACGTGAGTATTATGGATTGCTTCTTTGAATTATCTAGCATGGCGAGAGATATTTATAAGCCTTCTGCTACTACTCTGATGATTATAGAATTTCATGTGACTATTTAGATAAATATATGTGTTTATATGGATTGTTCTAATAGATAATATTCTGACATTTTAAAATTTTCACAGTGACATTAAATCTAAAAAATCTTATAAGGCATCAATGGTTTTAATTGAAAACTTCTAAAAATAAATTTGCAGTTTGTATTACATATTTATATTTATTTTGTAGAACATAAAATCATCTAAAATAAATTAATTCAGGTCCTCTCCCTAAGTCAAAAGAGTTTATATGCGATAAATACACACGTGTGACGTGGATAAAGATTTTTTCTGTGAAAAATTTGAAAAAAATTCGGATTTTTGTGAGTTGAACATACGACCCTTCCTGGTTCCTGCTGTCACTGCCAGTTGCGTCCACACACACGGGACTTCCAAATGCTGACGTGTAACATGCCATCACTTCGTGTTCCATTATCCACCGTTGGATTTCCAAATCAAGTTTAAATCTTTAGCCGTTCGTTGATCTTCGTCTTTGAGCTCGTCAATTTCGCCTTTTTCGGAACCTCTTCGCTGCATTTGAACTTCCATGTATATATACTATCACAAGCTCATCGGAGACATCCTTTGACGCTTTCTTTCTTCTCTGCCTCAGTTCTCTGCCTTCGGAGGACGAGAGAGAGAAGGAGGTGCAGAATTGGGTGGGAAAGAGAGAAAGGAAGGCAAGGATCGTCGGAGCTTAGGGTAAGGGTCCTTCTTTTGCTAGTTTGCGCTTGTATGTGAAAGCTCTGGTGAATTCTTTGTTTAGTCTCTATATGTGGGGTTTTTCGAGATAGCTTCTGCGTTACTGGGTTGCTGCTAGTTATGGTTTCGGTGAATTGGGGTTTTCTTGTTTTTAAGTATTCCATACTTGAGGTTACTGAAATTCGATATATATTTTTTTGTGTATGAAAGTTCAAGACGCGCTTTATTTCGCAGAAGAAGTTGGTTTGGTTTCGATTCAAATTTGATTTTGATTCTGTTGTGGTGTGTTTTAACTTTACTGTTAATTAGGAATCGGGGCCTAGCCTCGCAGGGAGAATAGAGCCGACATGAAGTTTGTCGTTTTTAATTTTTGCCGGTCGATGTTTTTTGGCCTGAGCGGGTTAAGTTGAATCGCCTCTTTGATCTTATGATTTAGAGGTTTTCGTGACTTGTTTGTGTGTTGGGCTTATGCTGAAGAAACAGAAAATCGTCAAATAAGGATGCTGGATGAATGAAATACGAAAGAAGTAATTTCATACAAGCATTAAGATATACGTTTCCCCCCTCTTTTAATCTTTATACAATTATTTTCTTCAAGGTTAGTATAAGGCGTCGTGCTCAAATTTGTTCTTATGTGTTACAATCGAGTTTGGTACATGCGGGGGTTGCCTGGAAGTAACTTAATACGGGAATTCAAATAGTTCTGTGCTGGGATGCTGAGTTCTAGTAAGTGGTGAACTTGAATGACCCCCTTCATTGTCCGTGAATTGCGAGTACTCATTAGACTAGATGCCATTCACTGAACTGCCATATTAATGATGTGTAGCTGATTGTGATGAATAACAGAAACTGTAAAGGGTCCCAATGGGCTTCTCGTTGAAATGTTTTTGAGTTAACTAAATCTTGGGCCATCATTAGTTCCCAGTGATTGCAAACTATAATTGGGCATGATTTTAATATTTTTCTGGAAAGGGTGGTGGTTAAGGATGGACATTAGTAGCAAGGAAAAAGTGAGAAAGTAGTAAATATTTGACTGTATTGGCTGGTCCCCTGGACCTATATCAATGTTTGGGCATGGTTTCATAAGCGCCTTCAATGCAAGTTTTAGTCCAAGACTAGTTTATCATGTGTGTATAAATTTCCTGCATTGTTTATTTGTGTTGTTGTATAAAGTGCTTTGGTTTGTGGAACTTATGCGATCTCTCTTTCTCATATGCTGTTACTTGGTCTTCTTTGCATAACCGAAGTTTCTTACCAAGTATGAGCAAGAAAACTACAAACTTTAACTGGAGTTCATTTTATCTACTGATATCATTTGAGTGTTGTGCTTAGGAAAATGGGTTTGGATATATAGGCTTGTTCTGTCACCTTAAAATCCTTTTCTTGTGGGAATTTAGTGAGAAATTCAGTTGTGTAGGAATTGATTATTTGAAACTGGTCACTTTTCCTTTGTAATTCACAATTCACAGGCTGAGATAAACCTGGAGTTTTCAATTCAAGAAGTTTGACCTGTTTTATTTCTATGATAGAATATTCTGTATTTGGCTGTGCGTATTGTGATGGTTTGTTGGTGGCAGGATTCCTTCCTATCATATCTTACTGCTGGCTCGGGAATAATGTCTTCTCCTTCAGCTGACTGCGACCCTTTTGATGCAGGTACTGACCTTGAACCCTATTGCTTCATTTTTTTTCACATTGAGTCTTTTCCTTTTGGTTGGGTGATTCGGTGAATGAAAGAATAAACTTTATCAAAGAGGATGAAAAAATTGCGAAGCTTCCTAGATGGACAACCAAAAATAACTAGATACTGTTAGTGATGGAAGTTGGAAAATACCTCTATGCCAGATAAACGATATAACTCATGGGTTGAGAACCACAATACAAAGACAATTTCAATTCAATACTTTCAGCAAGATATTTTTCAGGGTTTCAGGAGAATTTTCAAAATGTAGATTTGGCCCATATGCTTATTTCTGGCATGTCCCAGGCCACCTAGTGCCGTCTGTTGATAGTTATTGCAAGCCTTAATTTTGCATTATTATCAATGATTTATTTATTGTATTGCTTTTCTATTTGTAACAAGTGTGCCTGCTTTGGTTTCATATTGCAGTAGTTAGAGAGCGAATCAATGTGGCACCTCAAGTGGATGACAATAGCTCCTCAGATTGGCAAACACCTGATGTCTTAGATGCCTTAGACCCATATATAAATGATCTGTGCTTCACTGAAATTCCTACTGAGAGGATAAGTTTATTTGGCAATAATGTCAATTATAGTATCTTTTCTGATCATGAATTTTCTGGGACAAATTTGATGTATGATGCCACAGAGGCATTCATGCTTTTTCCCTCCTTTGAGAAAACAATGGAGGCAACAGACTCCCAATATGGGGCTTCTTGTGAAGAGTCTCAGCAGATGTCTGATAATGCATGGTTTCAGCACATGTGCCTTCAGACTAAGTCAGCTCAAGATTTTGAAGTCAGCCACTGTCCGATTGATTCCAATGAAGTAGATTATTCTGATCCAGAGTCCTTCATTAAAACTTTTTTTGATCTGTCAGATGAATCTAATTCATTGCCTGCGCTAGTAAGCAAGGAAACAAGCAAAAAGAAGCATACCCTTGTTCTTGATTTGGATGGTAAAGCTTCTTCCATCTTCGTATTCATGAAGGCTTTCTTTTAGTTCAGTGCCCCTTCAATGCTTGGATAAATTTTTGCAGAATTTTTTGTTCTTGTCTTTTTCCCCCCCTTGTAACATGATCTATGAGCTTCATTACCATAAAAGATCATTATTACTGCGCATTTTGATGCATGATTAGGCTTTAGATCATATTGGATGCTGTATATTCGGATGCAGATGATATTTTACACACATTAGTTTTTACATTTTATAGTGGAATTGCCACTTGAGTGTTTTAAGGTTTTATATAGTTTCCTTTTGATTGGAATTATTCATATTTCTTCCTTAAATATGGAAGGCCTCTTTATTATAAAATTGCTTTTGTAAATTACCAGTATAAGATAGGTTTTTCTATCTGAGTTAGAATGTGCACTAGCACATAAGTCAAACACTTGTTGCTTTCTGCTGCATGTTTGATGTTTTGATATGTGTATTTAATATATATGTATATCTTAAATAACTTGTCACTCTTATATTTTGTTGGTTCAATAGAAACGCTAGTCCATTCTACATGGGAGCCATGTTATGGTGTTGACTTCACAATCCATTTCGCTGATAATGATAACAAGGACCAAACTGTATATGTACGAAAAAGGCCCTTCCTTGAAGTGTTTTTGAAAAGAGTATCAGAGATTTTTGAAGTCATCATTTTCACAGCTAGTCAAAGGTGTTACGCAGAAAAGCTGCTGGATGTTCTGGATCCGGACGGAAAATTTTTCTCTGGTAGAAGATACCGAGACTCATGCATCTTATTGGATGAAGTGTACACTAAAGATTTGACAGTTCTTGGCCTTGACCTTGCAAAAGTATTTATAATTGACAATTCTCCTCAGGTACATCTCTTCGTCTTGATTCTTTGAGCCTTTTTATGCTTTTCAATATATTTATTAATTAATTACTTATTGTTAACTTATTTCATTAAAAGATATTATAACGTCAGATACTACAGCATAATACATAAGCTGGCCTAATGGTTATGCATGGGGTTCATTTAGCTTCATTACATTTATCCGTTCTTACTCTCTCCCAATGTATATCACGTATCTAATCAGTTTTTTGACTTCAATAAATCCTGGTTGTAATCCAGTGTGCTATTTGCCAAAATACTTTGTCTAACAGATTCACTTCAAATCTAATGTTTTCTACATTCATGAGCTCCTCTAGATTCTTTGATTGAGCAAAAACTTCTCAGTTTTATTTTTTACTATTCTATTGGGCATTTCTTTCTCATTATAATTAGCGATTACAGTTTCATCCAGACGTGTTGTAAAGTTTTGACCAGGTGTCGTACACCATTGTTGCTTTGATGACTGCATAAGATACTAAAACTTTCTCTGTCTTCATGTTTTTAGGTATTCAGGTTGCAGCCTGATAATGGGATCCCCATTGAAAGTTGGTTTGACGACGCTTCTGATTCTTCTCTGATGTCCTTGCTTCCGTTTCTCGAGACATTTGTTGACGTGGATGATGTTCGACCTGTCATTGCAAATAAATTCAGGGCTTGGAGGTATTAGTGGTTTTAACTCAGTTCCACTTCTATTGGATTGGTGGATCTCTTGGTCTTCTATTTGAAGCAGTAGCTGGAATCTTAGTCCTAGGATTACCTGTCCAATTGTCCATATTCTGTGAGTTCAAATAACCCCACTCAAGTATATATGCCTTTAGTACGTGTAGAAAATAGTTTTGCCTAGAAGTAAATTTTTTCAAAAAAATAATTTAGCTACGTTTCCTGGCTTTTTTTAGTTGTTCTCTATAGGGAGTTTTCATAAACGGCTTAGCGCCCAGTTTGCCAGATTTTTGTAAGTAAAAATTTTGCTTATAATGAAGTTATTTGGTTTTTTTTTTTTGGGTTAAGTTTCTCTCCAAGCGTCAAATTTATAGGCCTCTCATTTTTTTTTCCTTCTTTCTTTTTTCTATTTTCGTTCCTTATTTCCTGTGTTTTATGTAATATGATATGACTTCAGAAAATCAGAGGTTTTGAATTTTATTAATAGTAATCTCTTTTCTTCCAAGTGCTGACAATGAAAGGTGGGAATCCTTTGAATCCTCAGAGAAAGCAACAATGTCATACCTCAACGCAATCAAAGGGAACTTTATCATATTCGCACTTACATTAAAATTATACGGGTGATTGTTACTTGCTATTATTAACGGCGTTAATTTGATATTTTCTTTATTAAGTAAGTTTACTCAGTTTTCTATAAACATTTGCTTGCATGATAGTGAAAAGATGCAATGCATCCTTATGGCTTTAAAGTGTTACTGTCAAAAACTAACGCGACTGCTAAACAACTGCGAACGATGGGGTTTATTTTAAACGCACACGTGAAGAGATTTAATAGCTTATTTTAAATTAACTTAAAATAATTATATAAATTAAGAAGTTTAATTTATTTTGAAAATAACAAAGTAAAGTAAATCTAAATTGTTTAAATAATTTTATCAAGATGACGAATATTGTGCCAATATATTAAGAACCTAACTCGACTGGCCAATTTAACTGGAATCCGATGAACGAATATTTAGTTCGTTCGGTATGAAGGGAAAATCGACCAATAAATTAGCTGGTCAAAATACTTTATAGGGATATGATGATAGGTCTCCATATGATATCTATAGTTAGAGAAAAGAAGAATAAAACCTAAAATAAAATTATAAATTTAATTATGTATATATCGCCAATTTATTGATAATCTTTTCATCACCACTTACTAAGTCTAAACCTAGATAAATCATGTATCAGAGGGATACGATGATAGGCAATGACAAAAATGATTTCTTGACAAGATTTAATAAAGATAGGATTGCTCCAATCCTATCCCATCCTACACAATCTCAAATAATTCAACTTCTTTGGGAATTATGGCAAAAATTTGCCTCCAAATCTACAACGTCATCAAGTGTGTCTAGTTCTCAGATTGCATTTACACATTTGTTTTCCTCTCAAATGGTGATACTATTCTAACATAACATCATCAACAAATCCTCACAAGACAACAAAGTGTCCAAGAAACAATTGATTCCCATATAAAAGCTAGATTTGAAGTGATCGCAAGAAATTCGATGCCCTGCTTCCTCACCGTACCAGCTAAAAGACCTGCGACAATGATTTGACTTTGAGCCTTCCAATCAGTACAGAAAATAATATGGAAAGAAAACGAACAACGTCAAACGCATGGATAAGAGCAATTAAAAGATGATTAAATAAACCCCATTTCTGCAGCAAAATTTTGAAGTCTACACAGTTTTCAAGGTCCTGACAGAACTTATTTCTTCATTGGGTAATCCTTCATTTTGATTTCTAACATTACATATTTCTTCATTGGGTAATCCTTCATTTTGATTTCTAACATTACATATTTCTTCACTGGGTAATCCTTCATTTTGATTAAAAAGGCAATCTTTCAAACAAGACGTTATTTTCTAAACCAGAAGAAATGCCAGTAACCTGGAAGCCACATGCACATGAAGTCTCCCAACAGCCCAAATTCTTAAACTTCAAGAAAATAATGATGATGATGAACCATAGAACAAAGAGATGCAAACAGAGACAGACCTACTCAAACCCATTACTGTTGCTGATTCTGAGGGTTTGGTGGAGGCGGCATGCCTGGTCGAGGTGGTCCATATACAGGAACAGCACCACCAGGAGGAGGGGGCATGCCAGGTCGAGGAGGAGGTGGAGCTGGCATTCCAGGCCGCGGTGGAGCAGGTGGCCCTCTCACCATCTGTCCAGGAGGGGGTGGTCCCATGGGTCTCTGTCCAAACTGAGGTGGAGGCATTGGGAACGGCTGTGGTGGACCACCTGGTCGAGAAGGAAACTGCCCAGGTGGCATTGGTGGAGGTGGACCTCTGGCCATTTGCGGTGGAGCTTGCCCAGGATACCCTGGCATTTGCCCAGGCGGGCGCATCAGAGGTGGCCCAGCTGGGTATGACACTGGCGGAGCAGACAGCTGCGGAGGCCGGGAGATCTGGGGCTGCATCATGCCAGGAGCAGGACCCCCAACACCGCGAACAGGGCCAGCAAGGCCAGGCTGAGCCTGAACAACAGGAGCTGTGGGAACACCCCTACCAGCAGCACGCCCAATACCAGGGCCAGCTAAAGCGGCTGCATTAACAGCCTTAGCTCGGGACTCCTCAGGAGGCGGGGGGCCCTCAACAGTCATGGAGATGACCTCTTCACCGCGGAGAAGAACAAGGCCAAGGGTTCTGCGATCCTCACGTTCTTCATTGGTCTTCTTGCCCTTGCCAGGGGGTAGCTTGCGGAATTCTTCACAGTCACCAATGACAAGATTCATGTGGCGATCAAATGCCATGAACTTACCCACAAGCTGGCGGCCATCTTGAATGGTGACCCGCATGCGGTAGTTTATGTATTGAAGCATCTTCGAACTCTTAGACATCGACATGGTGCCTTCCTGAAGAATCAATAAATGATCACTTGAGACTGAACTTAATTGCGTAAAAAGTATGTAAAGCCAACCGCTAGTAGATTATAAATAACATTTTGCTAGCTTCTGATATAAAGTAGTAGATTTGAATATTGAATATTTTATAAGAAAAAATTGAAACAGTATGATAAGCATCTATATATTAACGAATTCCAAGCAATATACAAATATGAAACAATTCACAATCAACTGTCAGCCTCTTCTTGCTATCCCATAATATTTTGATCCTTTCAGAACAATTCAACTAAGCCTGAACTTTTTTTACGAAAAATAAACCAAGACTGAATCTAGTAAAAATACAGTGAAGTCCATTTTTTTTAATTTTGCATCTAGAATTACTGAAGTATTAAACCACAGAATGACAAAACAAATATAAAGAAAAAACATAATAAAATTAATCATCATCTATAGTAAAATTAAGTTAAACTCGTAAACTTAATTATCATTAAAAACAGGATAAAACAGAATATTATCACCGGTTATCACCAGAAGATAAACACAGATATTTAGAAAACACTCTCGTACATTGGAGATTACGGAATATCTTACGCATTAAAGGGGTGCTTCCTAGGATGTATTAAGACACAAGATATAGTGAACAACTTCCAAGCTTTTGTCAAAAGATGAAAAGTAGAGGAAACAAAATAAACTAAAACTATTTATTATAGATTACTATTTATATAAACAGCTTCCCCTTATGAGTAAATGAGCATAATGTTTTGGCTTAAAGCAATGACATTTGTCATTCTACTCACACCTCATTACACCTTATTAAGCATCTTTTAAGTTAGATAGGATCTAAATCTCAGTAGTTGTCAACACCCACCTATCTATGAATTTAAAATACATCTTCAGTATTTGAATAGAAAAATCAAAGGCCTTTCAGCTTTTGTAGAAGTATACGTTTGTTGAAATTCCAAAGATTTAACTAAAATGCCACAATCACCGAGTTATCTCTGATAAGCATAAAGCCAGCTAAAAAAACTGCCCCCACTTCAAATAGCCAAGACTAACTCAAATTCTGGAAAAAGCAATAGAAATAGTATGACAATGTAAAGACTGCAACTACAGTATTATCAGAAACATATCATTATATAATTAGAAACGTATTATCAAACATTCAAACTCTCATTCACATAAAAACAGAACCACACCAGACACCCGACATCCATTTTTCTTAACATTTACAGCTAATTTTTTAAATTTAATGACCAGGAGTCCAGGATTTAAAACCGAGAATCAGACTCCATTTGTCTTGACAAAATTTTTTTGAGCTTTATTCAGTCAGATCCACTACATTAGAACTTCGAAGGCAGAAGGAAACACACACCGCAATAGTGACCAATTGAGCTTAGTGGATTCGAAGAAGAACAAGAATGCGACTTGCCTGCTGTCGACGCTGAGAAAAGTGGTGCCTGCCGTCGAATAGTTCACTTACTGTGGAGGAGAGAGCGAGTAAGTGAGTAGCGTAGCCAAAGAGGAATGTGTAGTGACGACGTCGCCGTCGACGCTGAGGAACTGAGAGGAGCGTCGGACCACCAGCGTCGTGCTCGTGGACTGCGTCTGGTTTTAGGGTTCAAGGAAATTTTATTTTTCAACTTCTCAAGCCCATGACCCGAAAACCCAAATAAGAGGTGGGGGCCCGGATACTGTTATTCACCGGCGGAAGAAACCCACACCGATTTATTCTAATTTTTTTTTTGGAAAAACCATATTGAAGGCACCTATACTTTCTCTCAATTTTTAATTTGGTACCTATGTATTTTTTTCTCTTTAATTAAACATTTAATTTTATCTTTTTAATAACATTAGCTCTTATAACTTTATTCTATTGATATTTTTAGTCTCTACATAAGGATTAATGATGTTAATAGAGGAAAAATAAAGATTTAGTTAAGAACAAAAAACACATAGGTACCAAATTGAAAATTGAAAAAAAGTATAAGTACCTCCAATATGGTTTTCCTTTTTTTTTTTCAAGAAGTTATTTTCTGGATATTAGAAAACAGTCATATTTTTGCCAGCCAAAAAATTAATAAATTAATATTCATAAATTAATTTGCACCTATTTTGAATCAGATAATAATAGTATTAAATTAACAGTATTAACTCATGTCAAGTGAATCCTATTCAGAAATCGGTTCATTGAGATCATCAATACGACATAAATGTTGGATTTATCATTAACTATTCCTCCATTCCTAAATATAAGAACTTTATTTTAGTATGTATAAAGATTTTATATTTAGGACTGGAGGAGTATAAACATATTGTGATTATTTGTCATGATAAGATTAAGAGGAAAAAAAAATTATAACTGTCTTTTCAAATAAATAATCCAATGGGGAAACAAAAACACTCCATAAGAACTAATGTCAAAGTCCTACACAGAATCGATCATTTCTCTTTTGCAATCTGGCAAAATTTATCCTACATTGTATTTGGTCCGTCCATTGCTCAGATTGCATTTGCATATTTGTTCTCCTCTCAAATGGTGATACTGTTATAACATAACACGTTCTCATCATCAACAAACCCTAATAAGATAGCAAAGTTTCCAAGAAACCACTGCTTCCCTTGAAAAGCTGGATTTGAAGTGATCACAAGAAATTCAGTGTCCAGATTCCTCATCGCACCAGCTAAAAGACCTGCAATCATGATTTGAAGCCTTCTAATCAGTACAAATAACAAATGTACTACTTTTAGTCTTTAATATAAGATCCAGGCATATAGTATATGGGAAGATAATTAACGTGAAACGCAAAGCATGGATGAGAGCAATTAAAAAAAAAAAATTAAATAAAACATCATCCCCACACCAAAATTGAGAAGTCGACAGAAGGGCACAAAAGTTTAAAGGTCCAGTACATTATGAAACTAATTAAAAACATCAAAACTACAAAGTCCAAGTGAAATGGTCGAAAGAGTATACACTTTCTGAAGAATCTTGCTTAGTTTAACTATGTCTAGATACTGCGGAACAAGAGAATTTAGGTTTAGGACATCAAATATATGGGTAATAAATTATTCCGAGTTAGATCTCCACAAGACTAGGAGAAGGTAAGCAAAATACTATTATGAACACAGTTTATCTCAACCTAGAGGTTACAAATTGTTTCCAACCAAAACTCTAGTATCAGAATTTGATGCTTAATAATGGATTAGGACCATCTTCAGGGATGCTAATGGGTCAGAGATATGTTGGCCGTAGCAATATTTCATTTATAGAGGAAATTTCGCTTCTTTGTACAATACAAACTGCCATCTTCAATCATGTAAACTCGTGAACAAAGCCTTATATATGACATTATTATTTTCTAAACCAGAAAAAATGCCAGAAATCTGGAAGCCCCATGCGCATGAAGTCCCCTGACAACCAAATTCTTAAACTTTAAGAAAATAATAACAATGAACCACAGAGCAGGGAGACAAGAAAACAGAGACAAACCTACTTGAACCATTACTGTTGCTGATTCTGGGGGTTTGGCGGAGGAGGCATGCCTGGCCGAGGTGGTCCATATACAGGAACAGCACCACCAGGCGGAGGGGGCATCCCAGGTCGAGGAGGGGGTGGAGCTGGCATTCCAGGCCGAGGCGGAGCAGGTGGTCCTCTCATCATCTGTCCAGGAGGGGGTGGTCCCATGGGTCTCTGTCCAAACTGAGGTGGAGGCATTGGGAACGACTGTGGCGGACCACCTGGTCGAGAAGGAAACTGCCCAGGTGGCATTGGTGGAGGTGGACCTCTGGCCATTTGTGGTGGAGCTTGCCCAGGATACCCTGGCATTTGCCCAGGCGGGCGCATCAGAGGTGGCCCAGCTGGGTATGACACTGGCGGAGCAGACAGCTGCGGAGGCCGGGAGATCTGGGGCTGCATCATGCCAGGAGCAGGACCCCCAACACCGCGAACAGGGCCAGCAAGGCCAGGCTGAGCCTGAACAACAGGAGCTGTGGGAACACCCCGACCGGCAGCACGCCCAATACCAGGGCCAGCTAAAGCGGCTGCATTAACAGCCTTAGCTCGGGACTCCTCAGGAGGCGGGGGGCCCTCGACAGTCATGGAGATGACCTCTTCGCCACGCAGAAGAACAAGGCCAAGGGTTCTGCGATCCTCACGCTCTTCATTGGTCTTCTTGCCCTTGCCAGGGGGTAGCTTGCGAAACTCTTCACAGTCACCAATGACAAGGTTCATGTGGCGATCGAATGCCATGAACTTACCCACAAGCTGGCGGCCATCTTGAATGGTGACCCGCATGCGGTAGTTTATGTATTGAAGCATCTTTGAACTCTTAGACATCGACATGGTGCCTCCTTCCTGAAGAATCAACAAGTGATGACTTGAGACTGAACTTAATCGTATATTAAGTATATAAAACCAATAACTAGTGGATTATGAATAACATTTAGATAGCATATAATATAAAGCAGTAGATTTGAATTTTGAATATATTACAGTCCTATAAGTGATATAAAAACAGATAAAAAGAAGTGCCAAATTCATGTAAAGTACCAATCAATATATTCAGTGCACCGCAAATAATGGAAACTTCAAAATTATCACGAGATTTGTTGTTAAACTTCAAACTTTAAGTTAGTGCACCTCATATGTATTGATGCATGTTTTTGTGGAACATTAGAATATGCGGCAAAAACAGCTAGGAATGGTGATCTCTTGGGTCTTTTACTTATCCACAGATTTAACTAATCCATTTACTAAAACATTAAATATAGCCACTTGCAAGACATTATGGATAATGATCAAAACATAAGATTATTTATGTGAGTTTGTATATTCAGGGAGAGACAGAGTCAAATTAGGCAGCTCCGTCTCATAAGTATGGACATGTTTAGGTGCACACAATACACACTGAAAAACGACTAACAGAGAGACATGAAGTGGGGAGATAGTTTTTGCGACTATGAAGAATGAGCACAACTCCATACGCCTTTGTTACTATATGACTTTGAGAGATCTCGCATGGTCTAATCTCTTCTCTTTATATATATAGAGAAAAGCATCACTAACGATAGTTGAAGGTAATACATTTAAATAGATGTTTTGTCCAGGCTAACTTGAAAACTGAAGTCTACGGTATCAAGTGGGAACCAATGTACTCCAGAGGACTACAAAAAAGAACAAAAATAAGAAACAAATCAAATTGTCATAAAAAAGACAGACTAAGATTTAAAGACAGGAAGTATTATGATGAGGAGCATCCCGTGCACGAGAGAGACATACTAAGAAGGCGTGTGGGATGTTGAAACCCAAAGAAAAGGCAGCAGCATTGTAAGTGCAAGAAACCAAAAGCAAAGTGATAAAAAAGAGAAGTCAAGAGGTAAGACAAATTTCTGAAGCTGAGATTAGAAATCAGAGAATTGCAAGAGTTAATTAGATGAATATATATTTTTCTTGTCAATAGTGCCGTCAATATCCTACTTATTATCCAAGAAGTATGAAAGAAGACCCAAATCTTGCGTTATCTGCTGAATTTATATACATTTTTTTTTTCCTTATTTTGATGTAGAATAAGCGGATATGGAACGAGTGAACGCTTGATCGAAGATTAATTTTCTTAAGCTGGATTCGGGGAAGAGGAATTAACGTAACAAGCGCGTGTGTGTGTAAAAGTTTCGTTTGTGAGACTATTAGGTTGGTTGATAGCATTGAATACGAATGATTGTTTCTAAACTAAATTAGTAAAGATTGGTGACGTCAAACATTATTGTTAGAGCAGAACACTGCCAGAATCACACGAAAGATCCATGGTTTTATTTAGATTTAACTAGTTTATTGGAAAATAAAAAAAAATCACCACAGATTCTTTCATAGGAACAGAGTACTACAGACAGCAACTGATGGGGGTTGTAGATAATGGAAACAAAATTATTATCGAAGAGCCGTGACGAATAAAACTGAAAGCACAATTCAGAAAATTCCCCAAAAATTAACTTAAAATTGGAACCCATAAACAATAGGAAAATAGGAACTTGATGACATAGGCGTAACCTTGCAACGTTCCCAAAGCCCACTGGCAAATGGAAATTTCATCTACAGCAGATAAATAGCAACAAAAGTGGCAGAGAAATTTCACGATGCAACAAAAGAATAGCTATAGATCGAAACACCTTGACAAGAACCCAGAGAAATTTCACGATGAAACAGAGAGAAATAGCAAGAACTTGCGGTAAACACATAAAAGAGGAGGAGGAGCAGGAGAATACCTCGACTTAGTGGGCTAGAGACACGACGCTAGAAAAGACACCCACGACGAGTCGGCTATGAAAATTTTGCGTATCGAGAGGAGGACGGTGTTGATTGAAGTTTCTGAGGGCGAGGAGTGAGCAAGCGAGCGTACGAACTGAAAAAGAAAATAGGGATTGAAGTTTCAGAAGGCGGGTGTTTTAATTTTATTTTGAAGTTAAATTTGGTCAATGAATTTAAAAAAAATAAAAATTAATGACAGACTTTTGTGCTAAAGTCAATGATTTGCTTATCTAGGTACAAATTTTTATCTCTTCCAAATTTTTGTTACTGAATTCAATGAATATTTCTAGAAGTGTTTGCCCATCCTTTATTCTCCTAGTTCCAACTTCAAAAAGAGTTGGCGACCTTTTTCTTAGCCAATAGGATCGTATTACTAAAGGAAAAATTAGTTTATAAGGTACAAACACACTTCAAACAAAATCAAACCAAATCAAGAATTAAATAAGACAATAGTGCCATGAGAACACAATAAAACTAAAAGAAAAGAACTCAAGGCTAGGACCTCCTCTTTTCCATTCTTATTATTTATCTCCAACATATTCTATAATATAATATATTTTGATTAAAACCATTAGTTTTTTTTATCTTATATCTCTGATTAATTATAAAACTTCTTAATTGGCTAGCCAAGCTCTTCTTTCTAATGAATTTTATTGAGCATAATTTTAATTTTAATATAAAATAGTATTTACAACAAGTTTCTTACCACTTTGTTTCTATTTATAGGTCACATATATCCGAGGCTCACAAATAAAAAATGTGTTAAACATATAAAATTTTTCTCATTTATCCCTATTAAAGAAATGATATTAAAAATATGTTTTATATTTTCTTTCACCTATGTACTTTATCTCTTTTTGTATTTATTAGGTCAATAGGCATAAAATTAAAAAAAAACTCATTAATTACTTTACAAGTGACTTATATTTAGAAATAAATTTTTTTTCTATAAATGATCTATAAATGGAAACAAAATAGTTATATCTCTTATGTCCTATTCTCTATAGTCATATGTCTTTTTGTTAAATATTATCATTTAATTATGAATTTATATGAAAAAAACAGGATACATGAATACGTGTAATTGGAAAACTTAATATAATATATACATAAATTTTGATCCTTAACATAATAGATACATAAATTTTGATCTAAGTATTTTTCTTTAATATATTACAAAAAAATAACTAATTTTAACTACTTTCATCAATTTATGTAAAATTTATTATTATGTAATTATAGAAAAAAGGATGAAGCATATAAGATCTTACTGTTATGTTATTCTAAATTTTTGTTTGCTTATTTTTGTAGGCAAAGCTGGTCTCCTAATTCAAGCTACCCTGACCTTCTCAACCAGGTCCAAACACTGCAAGATTTGAAAGCCAGATTTTGATAAAAATCAAATAATCTGACACTGTACATTATAGATAATGAAGATAGTAAAATAACAATAATTATAATGATGCTCAGGAAACTTCCTTTTTGATAATGAGGAAACATGATAGGAAAATTATTTCCTAGGATCAAATTTATAAAGTAATTATTTCTAAAAGACTTCCAACTTAAATTATTTCCAAGCACCCTGGCTCTATGATTTTGTTCAAATTATTATGTACAAGAACTATCTCAGTTTCTTTTGAAGCAGAAGAAGCTCTACCAACAATCCAGCAACAATGGTGAGAAGGGAGGAGAGAACAAAAGCCAAAACCAAAGAGGACAGATGAGTCATCTGGTGAAGCACGATGTCTGACAAATAATAGAAAGCCATGGAAGAGGAATGAACAGCAAGCAATTAGAGGAAACGACCTAGTCTTAAAGACCTGATGAATGAAGATCGAAGTTGAGGCTGGCGAATAATCGAAAGCCATGGAAGAGGAATAACAGCAAGCAATCAGAGACGATGAGCTAGTCTTAAAGACCTGATGAATGAAGATCGAAATCGAAAGCCATGGAAGAGGAATTAACAGCAAGCAATCAGAGACGATGAGCTAGTCTTAAAGACCTGATGAATGAAGATCGAAGTTGAGGCTGGCGAATAATCGAAAGCCATGGAAGAGAAATTAACAGCAAGCAACTAGAGGCGGCGGCGAGCCAATCTTGAAGACCTGAGGAATGAAGATCGAAGTTGAAGAACGGAGAGTCGTCGGAGATGGAGAGCCGTCGCACCTCGGCTTGTGAAATCCATCCATTATGCAATTCAGATAGCCTAAACTAAGCATGTTCCGTAGAAAAATTAGCGGACATTGCCGATTTCTTACAGTAAAAGAAGCTTGAGATAAGCGGAAGACGCGGGAAACAATAAGAAATACCGAGTAATTAAGCATTAATTAAAAAGCTTAAAAATTCATCTGCTGTTTAAATAATTCTGTCTTTTCAATACGGCTTGGCCCCACTCACTAAGCATCACTTGCCACGTGTTGATTTGTTACTGGCCCAGGTCGGTGACCCCCTTGCGGGACCCACATAGTGAGCGCACCGGGATGTCGCTGGTCTGCTCTCACGTTGCATCACGCCTTTCAGAGGTTCAGTTAGTTAGTAGTAGCATCTCCTTCTTGGGTAGCGTGTTATATATACAGGTGTTGAAGGACTCCTCCTTCTTCCCCACGCAAAATCCATTTTGGCTATTACCACAGTAAGCTCTCTGGTTTCATATACTTTCTTCAGCTCTCTCCGTTTACATCATTTATGTTTACGCTTTTTTTCTTGGTTTTCTGCGATTTTTGTCTTTGCTATTCCTGATCTTTTCATTTCTTCCCTTTTTTTTGGCTTGATTAAATGCCTCTGCTAGGTGCCACATTGTAGAGTTTTCCTTGTACTCTATTCTGGAATTATTCTGTGTGTTATCTCCGGTACAGTCGCCATGTTGTGTACTCTGTTTTCTGTTCTTTGGCTTCTCGTTCTCTTGTTTATATCGCTTATTTCTATTTCAAAGTTTTCTTGTTTGGATTTTGGATCCGTGAAGTAAATATTGGGAAGGATTTTTCGGATTTCTTTTTCACCTCTTTGAAAGACGTATGAGCTTTGGAGCAGGAGTTCTACTTTTCTCAGCCTCCACATGCCTTTTTTGCTTGCATTTCTGGTTTCTGTCGTGTATGTCTTCGTTTTCTTCTTCTTCTTCTTCATCTGTTGCAGGCCTTATTTAGTTCTTTGGTTGATTTCCTGTGGTGCTGGCTGCTACATTGTACAGTTGTATCGTATTCTGGATATATTCTGTGTGTGCTGTCTCTGGTAACGTCGCTGTTAGATACTCTGTTTTCTGCTCTTTCGCTTCCGGTTCTCTTGTTCCTGTTGCTTATATATAATATACATTGGTTTTGTACTCCTGAGGTAAATATTGCCGAAGTATCATTCGGATTTGTGTTTCCCCTCTTTTATCATAAGCCGTGTTAAGAGCTTTTGACACGATTACAGGACCTTTCCATTCTGAGCCAGTTCATGCCTTTCGCATGCTTATTCTGGTTTCTCTCACATGCTTGCAGCTACGGTTTCTTTTTCTAGCCTAATCTGATTCTTTGTGTCCTTAAACACATGCATTGCAAGTATTTTATAGCTAAGTATGGTTTGGTTTGACAGTTCAGGATTCACTTGTAATTATAATCTTCGTTGATTGTTTTGTTATGATTCACATGCATACTTGATAATTTTTATCTTATACTTGAACAGATCTTAAGGAATGGCTTCTTCAAGTCGTAACAAGGGAATTGATAAGTATGAATCGCATTCATCTCTTCCACCTATGCTCCGTTCACATGCAGAATCCGAAAAAGATTACTTGCCTATGAAGAAAACATCAGATAGAAAACTCTTGCCCATGGCCAGGCGTGGTCTTGGATCCAAGGGACGAAAGATTCAGCTTATCACTAACCATTTTAAAGTTAGCCTGGCCAAGAAAGATGGCTGCTTCTATCACTATACTGTATTTCCGCTCTCTCTCTCTTTCTCTCTCTCTCACACCACACACACAAAAATTACTCGACTGTATATGACAATGTAAGTTTTGTTGGTGTAGGTTGCTGTCTTTTATAAAGATGGGCGCCCTGTGGAAGCCAGGGGTATCGGAAGGAGAGTCATAGACAAAGTTTATGAGACCTATGCTTCTGAGCTGCCAGGCAAGGACTTTGCATATGATGGAGAGAAAGCCTTATTCACTCTTGGTTCACTTCCACGTGACAAGCTTGAATACATGGTCTTGCTAGATCAAATTTCATCAAACAAGTAAGTACCAATTGCTGATCGTACAATATTAAACTTAACATGCAGATGCAGATTTTCGTACAACTCGGTGCTACATGATCTGCTTTTTCTAATCAAAACTTGATAGCAAATAAACAACTTCACGAAAGTTGTGTGTTCCGATTTATTTCCTCACTTTGTGCATTTTATTTTCAGGGTTGGAAGGAATGGAAGCCCTGACAACACAGACGGAAATCAATCCAAGACATTCAAGGTGGAGATCACTTATGCTAAAAAAATCCGTATGCAAGAAATTGTTGATGCATTGCTCGGTCAAGAATCTGACCACCAAGAAGCAATAAGGGTTCTGGACATCATATTAAGGCAGCATGCAGCAAAGCGGTATGTTAAAATCAGAAACAAAGTGCAATTGTTTTTATTGCTTGAATGTTTCCGTTTACCTTTCCTTCATTTTGATTTTCAAGGGGCTGTCTACTTGTGCGTCAATCATTCTTCCATGACAAAGTAGAAAATTACAGAGACATTGGAGGTGGTGTTCAAGGTTGCCGAGGCTTCCATTCGAGTTTCCGAGCCACTCAAGGGGGTCTGTCTCTAAACGTTGGTAAGTTTTTCACTTGAAATGCCTGAGAAATTATGTTCATATGTTATGTTTCTCTTTTTCTGATATTTGGTATTGCTTTTAAGATATGTCAACAACATTGCTTCTAAAGCCTGGTCCATTGTTGGAGTTCCTCCGCATGAACGAAAATGTTAATCGTACTAATTTGATTGATTGGACTAAGGTAAATTTATTGGCATATGAACTTTCATACACACACACACACACATAGATATTTATGTTGAATTTAAAAGTTTCATGAATAATATCTGATTAATTTTGCATTCTTTTCAGGCGAAAAGGATGTTGAAGAACTTGCGAATCAAGGCTAACAATATGGAGTACAAAATCACCGGATTGAGTGATAAGCCCTGCAAAGATCAGACGTAAGCTTTCCTGTAGTTTCTTTTTTTCAACATTTGCATGGTATTTTTAGTTATTTCCACGCACCGCTGATAAGATTTCCTTGGTTCCTATTGCAGGTTTTCCTGGAAGCGAGGAAGAGACGCAAATGGTGAGGTGAAATCAATTGAAATAACAGTTGCTGCATATTTTGAACGCTATAAAGGCATCAGATTGCGTGATTCAGCTAATTTACCATGCATCAATGTTGGCAAACCAAAGAAACCTTGTTATTTTCCAATAGAGGTACTAATATATTCTACTAACTGGGGGCATAAGGAAACCGTTTTAGCCTCTCTTTTTTTTCCATACCATAATAAGCCTGGTTGATCTTGACCTGTACAAAAAAGGTATATTGAGTTTAAAGGTGGGGATGTGTCCTACCCACTGTCACTTTTTTTTTCCTTGATTTAATTCTTTCTTTAAATGTATGAATGCACATAGATGATTGAATTTTATTGTCATATATGGAAGCAAGTTATGAGGCTTTTTCTTTTGTAGCTCTGTACTTTGGTTTCATTGCAACGCTACACTAAGGCCCTTACCAGTTCGCAAAGAGCTTCACTAGTGAGAGTGTCAAGACAAGAGCCCCATGAACGAAAGGCGTCTGTATCAAATGTATGTTTTGACTTTTGCATTTCTTCTTCTAGTTTTTTTTATATTTTTTGCATGACTTTTCATATTTCACCATCTAACACCTTACACAATTCTGATGATGCTCTTCTTTCAGTCACTGAGAAACTGCAGATATAACGATGATCATATGCTTCGTTCTTCTGGTATTACCATTGGCTCCGAGTTTACAAAAGTTGAAGGTCGTATTCTGCAAGCTCCAACGGTACGTGTATTGATCAATCAGAACGTACGCAATTCGCTCATAATTTGTTTTTGATACAATCATTTCATTGATAATTATTACGTTGCTTATCTCTTATTCTAACAAAACAAAATCTCTTCAATATGTTGCTGCATGCAGCTTAGGGTTGGGAATGACAAGGACTTCACTCCTGAAAATGGGAGGTGGAATTTCATTGATAAGGTTTGGCCATAATATTTTCACTTTAAATTTTAATTTAGCCAAATTCAATTTCATTGGTCTCACAGACTAACCATTATGTGTTAGCAACTTTATCAATCTGCGGTGGTTGAACGTTGGGCTATAGTCAACTTCTCTGCTCATTATGATATTGATATCCTTGTCAAAGGATTGCAACGAAGTGCAAAATCGAAGGGAATGGTGAGTTTTTCATAGTGCCATTGGAAGTTAAATCTGAAAGTTCATATGCATCTTACTGAATTTCTTCCTTTTTGGTAGACCTTGGGTAAGCCAAAAGTGTTTAAAGAGGATAAACAAATGAGCCGTGAGCCGGCCGTCGTCAGGGTTGAACAATTGTATGCAACTGTGATGGATCAGATGGGTTGGCATCCCCAGTTTCTATTGTGCATTCTACCAGAAAAGAATTCGGATATTTATGGTATTAATGTTTACCTAGGTTTCCTTTTATATATACTTATGTTTTAGATTTATATAAGCATTGAATAGACATGATTTTTAACTCTCTGATTACTGTATTATGAAGGTCCTTGGAAAAGAATAAATCTTGCAGATGATGGGAAAGGGGAAGGGGTTGTTACACAGTGTCTTGTCCCAACAAAACTGAAAAATGATCAGTACTTTACTAATCTTCTGTTGAAGATTAATGCCAAGGTACATAAGATCGAACATTAAAAAAAAAAAAAACTGTTTGAGTCTTTTATTTAAACTAATATCTATCATCGCATGGTTACATATTATTCTCACATTTTTTCTTCCATGCAGCTTGGTGGGATGAATTCCCTTTTGGCAACAGAGCATTTATGTTCTATACCTATGGTTTCAAAGGTGCCTACCTTAATTCTTGGTATGGACGTCTCACATGGCTCTCCTGGTCGATCATATGTACCATCTATTGCTGCGGTAATAATTTGTTTAGGTTTAATTTAGTCAGTCTTTTCTACTTCAGATCTGGAAATGCATGTCGGTCTTCGTTTGTGTTTAGTCACATCCAACATGAGGCCTTTACCATTATCACTAGAATGATTGTAAGCATTGTAAGCACGGAAAGAAAAAATTGAAGAGACAATAGATGGAAAGAGGGAGGTGGACCCCAAAGAAATAGTTTTTTGGTATCATTTTATTATACCGTAATAGCATGACCATGGAAGATTAAATTTGGCCATAGTCTCTTGTACAAACCGGATAATGTTTTTGACGAAAAAGGCATAAATTGTTGTACGTTGGGTCTGCTTCATATATCCCTAACTCTTGATAAATACAATATTTGCAGTCATTTTGGTGACTAAAGAGGATTCAAACGGGAATTCCTCCTTTATCTATCGCCTTAGAATGCATGATATGCAGTCATTCAAGGGGATTAGCGTCTAATAGTGCAACAGCAGGATAGAGTTAATTTCTTTTCTTTTGTTTTGTTTAGTTCGTATTTCTAACTGATTTTATCCTTGAGAATATTTAGGTTGTCAGCTCAAGGTGCTGGCCTCAAATTTCACGTTACAGAGCATCAGTTCGTGCTCAGTCACCAAAGGTTGAGATGATTACCGACCTGTTCAAACCTGTTTCTGATTCTAAGGATGATGGTATTATGAGGTGAGAATTCTTTATCTGATTCTAAGGATGATGGTATTATTACTTCGTGCTCAGTCACCAAAAGAGTTTGCTCTTGTTTCTTTTTTCTTTTTTTAATTTGTGTGCTTAATTCAATCCCATGATTTAAAATTTTACAATGTTTTTCTTTCCAGAGAGCTGCTTGATGACTTCATTAATACTTCAGGAAGGCGGCCTGAGCATATTGTCATATTCAGGTACAATTTAAATGTGTTTGAGGATATTGATTTTTATTAGCTGGAATATTTTCTAACGTGATGATAGATACCGTTTTATTTGTTTGAATTGATGGTATATACGTACTTCAAGAATTTTGAAAACTTCTTGAGCTTCTCTGGTTTTCTATTGTTCTGCTTCAATGGACTATGTCGGAAAAGTTATTCATTAAAAATGATACTGCCTCCAACCTTAAAAGTTAGTTGAGGGGTTGCACTTAGTTTTAAATACAAGATTTCAATCCTTTTGGTCTCTCAAATTTAAAATTTTTTCCTAAAATATCTTTATTAATTATAAAGGACTCACATTAAGGGAAGTTCTAATGAACATGATTAAAAAAGATAGTTTAGAAAAGTTAATACACATTTATTATAAATAACCAATTTAACTAATTTATTTAATCTTTCTAAATTAGTTATATAACTCTTATATTACAGACCGGTAGTAATACATTTTAAAAAGTAAACATGAAAATTGTTGAGTAGAAAATTTTGGTTTCTTTAGAAAAATAGAACCATTGCGCAAATTTTTCAGTTCCATAATACATTTTTCCTTTATTTGGAACTAGGGATGGGGTCAGTGAATCACAATTCAATCAGGTGCTGAACGTTGAGTTGGACCAAATCATTCAGGTAAGCCATATTTGGCAATATTCTTGATTTTTATACTCTATTTATTTATGGTTGAAATTCAATTGAACGCCATTCAAATTGAATTTTCAGGCATGCAAGCATTTTCAAGAAACATGGGATCCAAAGTTTACTGTGATTATTGCCCAAAAAAATCATCACACTAGGTTCTTCCAGGCCAATGCTCAAAAAAATGTTCCTCCAGGTTTGTTCCTTGAACTGCTTACTCTCAATTTATGCAGGGAGATGTTAGATTCCATTCATTACAACGATTCCACGCGTCAAACCTATTCGCTTTTTGTACTCACAACTTACTATAAATTTGATATATATTTTTTTAATCTGACCCGCCGTCTTGTTGTTTTCCGCAGGAACTACCATCGATAATAGAGTCTGTCACCCTAAGAACAACGATTTCTACATGTGTGCTCATGCTGGAATGATTGTACGCATTCGCATCAAAATAGATTCAATTGACTTTTGAGCTGATCATTTCTTTTTTCACATATCAGTCTTGAAAAATAACAGTTTAATGGCTAAAACACTTGGGTATTTTAGATGCCGTAAAGTTTTTTTCCCCATAACACAAGACACGGAGGAAATTATATAATACTCTTCCATGTAAGATTGAAAATTAATTAATTTGAGTAGATTAAAAATATTAATTATATTAGTTAATATAATATATTTTTTCTAAAACATCTTAAGTATCTTTTTTAATTCTCTTCCTTTCTTTTCTACTTGATTATTATTTAAAAATATCATTAAGATTAATTTTTAAAAAAATGATAAATTTATAAAATAAGTCTTGCATATAAAAGTAATATCAACTCTTTAGAGTAACATTCACTTATCACTGTGTTGCTAATTGTCCTATTGTTTGCATAGGGAACAACTCGGCCTACGCATTACCACGTACTGCACGACGAGATTGGCTTCTCTGCTGATGATCTGCAAGAACTTGTACATTCTCTTTGTTATGTGTAAGTTGATCATTGTTTTCACTTTAAGACTGTTTGGCACCGGGGAAATGGAAGGGTTGGAAAGGAAAATTTTAGTGAGTTCAATTTTAAAAAATTAGGAAATAAAGTTAAAAGCTTTTAATTACTATTTTTCGCTTTTTATTTTACATCTCTTTATAAAATTTTATAATCCTATTTTTTATTTTTTTTGAAATTAAACTTATTAAACCCCCCCCCATACTAACAACCTCAAATTAGCCTTCATGCATGTGAACATGTTAGATATTGCAATAAAATCAGCCATTAGATTTCGTTTGAAAGGTCATGAATGGTGCACAATAACCTGAATAATTCTTCCTTGGAAATATGTGACTGACAAACTCCGGCTTTTTTTATTTACAGGTTTCAGAGGAGCACAACAGCTATATCAGAAGGTAAAACTTCCTGAGAAATCCATATTTCTTGGTCTGTAAAATTCCCATTAACACACTCTAGCCAGGTGGATTATGGTCAAAGGTTGAAATATTTTCTCCGCACAATTTGTTTCATCAAATGCTGAAATCTGAGTCTTCGCTGTATTATCATCTTATTGCAGTTGCTCCAGTCCGCTATGCTCACTTGGCAGCAGCACAATTGGCACAGTTTATCAAGTTTGATGAAATCCCAGAGTCCTCTTCCTCTTCAAGCCATGGCGGATTCACTTCTGTTGGCACACCTCAAGTCCAAGAGTTGCCTCGTCTTCATGAACGAGTCCGCAACTCCATGTTCTTCTGTTAGAAGTTTCGGCCAGTGGAGTTAACAAGCTATGGGGAGGTTGTTTTACCAGGCAGTTTTTGAATGGGTTCTTGACTGCATTTACCTTAATATGAGGTTCTTATCAATATATATATATATTAGTTTTGAATTAAGGTCTGGGAGAGTTTTAAAGCAGAGAAATCTGAAATACTATGAAACAATTTTGTGGACTTAATGCACAAATCTTGACCCTTTGGGCTCCCTATCACATGTCCAAATTATTTTCCGGTTAGTTTGACATATTGCTGTGATTTGTATAATTGTATATACTCATAATCTATTCATGGTTTTTTAATCAAATTAAATCACGTGGATTTTTTCCATGTCAAGTTAAAATGTTCATTGCACTTGAAAAATACCCTTTTTTGACAAAAAAAAAACCTTTATTTTGAAGTTTTCAATTTTCATATCTTGAACATTTATAAGGTAGAGGAATTTTTTTAAACATATTTATATGCTGCTTCATTAAACTTTTTAACAGGAATATAATATTTAATTATTTATTTATTATTGTGTAGAATATTATGGTGGTTAATATATTAAAGACCATGCACCTTTTTCTCTTTTTATCAAAACCTTCCATTTTTATGATAATACTGCCTTCCTTTGGTGCGCTTTATTATTTTTGCCGTTGACCGTTTTTTCCCTTAAAAGTTTAGCCCAAAAAAAGGCCGTAAAGCCATTGAACAATCATTCCATCTCCTGTCTCATGTTGTTTTCCATCATCATTTCCCCCAAAAGTCTGCAATAGCTCATTTCTACTTTTTCGCCTCAAATAAAAGTTCCATATATTCCGGTTTTCCAATTAATAAGTTTACCACCTCAAGTTATTGTGAAAAATAGTACTACTTCCGAATTAATTTGAGTAGATTAAAAAAATTAGTTAAGTTAGTTATTTATAATACATATGTATTGTTTTTTTTTTAATATTCTTATTGATTAAATATATTGGCTAGAACTGCTATTATAAATTATCTTGAGAAAAAATAAATAAATATAAGAGATAAAGTAAACCGGAATCTTATATTTAAGACCAATATAAAAAGTAGATGAGCTCGGAGGTAGTATTGTATTTTGTCTAGGTTTTTAATAAAAATAAAAAATTCATGACAATATAAAAATTAAAAATTAAAAATAAATAGCAATAAAAGTACAAATTTCAATTTATTTATGTCTGATTTAACTTTCTTAAAAAAAATCATAAGAAACAAACAAACAAAAGACAATATATTTATTATCTTATGCACTTTAAGTTTAAATTCAAATAACTCTTTAAATAATTCTGTTAGAAAATGAACCAGTCAGCTTTGTGATTATATCGGACCGGGAGATTATTTAAACAAAAATAATTGAGAGCCTGAATTAATTTTCATTTCTAATTGTTTGAAAGCCCTCTTGTTTTGGATCCATAATTCTGTTTCATTTCCGCACATTATTTGGGTTGAAAAAATCTCCCTTAATACCACAGCTGCTTAATAACATCAAGCTTCATCAATTATATGATAGGAAGTTCTTGCTCTTCTTCATGATTTTTATGTTCTTCCTTTTAAGCAAATATCTCTTAATGTAATTTCTTGTTTTGTAAGATATAGCTTAAGCCCATTATGTTTTACTACTCTGTAAATTTTAAAGCTTTATATGTATATATATAATTTTGTCTTTTATAAAAAAAATTAAACAAAAATAATTAGAATTATTTATTTAAAATTAAAATGTGTCCAAGCCCCATGGTTGAATTACGATAATGTTTTTTTTAAAAAAAATAACCAATAGAATCACAAATAATTTATTGTTTTTTTTTGCCAAAATTGATTATATATACCTTAATGAAGCGACTCAATAAAATTGTTGCTATAAGATTTAAATTAGATTACATATGTTGATTGATATTGATGATTGATTACGTTGGCAGAAAAAAATGATGATTGATTGGATAATGATTAATTGATGATATATGCATATTAAACATTGATAACGTATGGATAAATTTATGAAAGAAGTTTTGGGATAATGTTTATTAAAAAAATTAAAAATATAAACTATAAATCCCATATCGATTTATCAACATTAATATTAATATCAATTCAATGTAAAATCTAAAATTTAAATCAAATCAACCTAGGTGAACTCCATGTATAAAATCTATATATAATATATACACAGAAAAAGACACAGAATTAGGAAGGTCGTCAACTTCCTTGCGGGACCCACTTAACGCCCGCGGCCGCGCAGCTCTGCTCTGCTGAGTGACTTACGTTCGGCCTTTCAGTAGTACTATCTGTTTCTTGGTCGCTTGTTATATATGTATTTGGGTGTTGAAGCCTGACGAACTTCTTGCTCTTCTTCCCCACGCAAGACCCTTTTTGGCTAATAGCATAGTAAGCTTTCTGCTTCATATGGTTTCTCTGGCCTTCTCAGTTTACATTTTTTATGTTTGTAGCTTTTTTGTCCTGGTCGTCTGCCACTTTTGTCTTTGCTATTTCTGTTCTTGTTTTTTTTTCCTTCCCCTTTTCCCTTTGTTCTGTTTGGTTAAATGCCTCTGCTAGTTGCTACATTGTAGAGCATTCTGGAAATATTCTGTGTGTTTTATCTCTGGTAGCGTGGGTATGTTATATCCTCTGTTTTCCGCTCTTTGGCTTCTGGTTCTCTTGTTCATGTTCGCTTATATCTGTTTCAGAGTTTTCTTGTTTGGATTTCGTAGCCATGAAGTAAATATTGGGAAGGTTTTTTCGGATTTCTTTTTCACTTCTTTAAAAGATAAGAGCTTTTGAACAGGACTTATACTCTTCTCAGCCTCTCCATGCGTTTTTACGTGCTTTTCTGGTTTCTTCTCGTGTTTGTAGCTACGTTCTTTTGTTTGGTTCTTGGATAACCAAGAACACTTCTTGAATTTGTCTCATTTAATGATTTTTTTTTTCTGCATTGTAGAGTTTGTATATTCTGGAAATATCATGTGTGTTATCTCTGGTAACGTTGATATTTATACATACTCTGTTATCTCTTGTTCCTTCAAGTAAATACTGGGAAGGATTTTTCGGATCTTTTTCAGAAAAGACGCAAGAGCTTTGAACAGGATTTTCACTTTTCTCATGTTTATATACTCTGTTATCCCGTGCTTTTCTGGTTTCTCTCATGTTTATGACTATGTTTTCTTCTTCTTCTTCTTCTTCCTCCCTTCTCGCAGGCCTTATATTTTGTTTTTTGGGTTTATTTCTTGTAATGCTGATTGTTACATTGTAGAGCTTATATTCTGAAAATATTCTGCATGTGTTATCTCTGGTAGCGGCGTTATATGCTTATATATACTCTGTTTTCTGTTCTTCGACTAGTGGTTGCTTATTCTCTTGTTCCTATTGCTTTAAAGTTTTCTTTTTGGATTCTGTAAGTAAGCTGCAAGAGCTTTAGAACAGGGCTTTTATTCTTCTCAGCCTCTTCATGGCTTTTTGCTTGCTTTTCTGGTTTCCCTTTCGTGTTTATAGTTATGTTCTCTTTATTTGGTTCTTCGATAGCTAGTAGCCTTTCTTGGATTTATTTCCTGTAATGCTGGTTGGTACATTGTAGAGTTCGTATATTCTGAAATACTATGTGTGTTGTCTGTGGTAACGTTAATACTTGTATATATTCTGTTATCTGCTCTTGGGCTTGTGGTTGTTTGTTCTCTTGTTCCTGTTTCTGGTATCTATTTCAATGATTTCTTGTTTGGCTTTTGTATCCATGAAGTAAATATTGTGAAAGTATCTTTCTGAGCTTCTTCGTGCCCTTTGCTTGCTTTTTCTGGTTTCTCTTACGTTTACACCTACGGTTTCTTATTATTCTCCACTTGTTTCAGGCCTTATTTTGTTCAAAGCTTTTATTTTTCTTGCCTCGTTTGATTCTTTGCGTCCTTAAACATCTGTATTGCAAATATTTATAGTAAATAAGGTTTTGTATGACTATTGAGGATTCATTTATGATTATAATCTCAGTTGATTGTTTGTTTTGATTCACATGGATACTTAATTTTTTATCTTATGCTTGAGCAGCACTTCGTTTAAGGAATGGCTTCTTCAAGTCCTAACAAGGGAACTAATAAGTATGAATCACTTTCACCTCTTCCACCTACCATCCGTCCGCATGTGGAATCAGAAAAAGCATACTTGCCTATCAAGAAAACATCAGATAGAAAACTCTTGCCTATGGCCAGGCGTGGTCTTGGATCCAAGGGACAAAAGATCCAGCTTACCACTAACCATTTTAAAGTTAGCCTGGCCAAGAAAGATGGCTTCTTCTATCACTATACTGTATTTCCTCCTCCTCCTCTCTCTCTCTCACGCGCACACACACCCACCAATTACTCGACTGTATATTAACGTTAAAGATCTACCTTGATCTTTATCCTTCACTTTTGCTTATGCACTTATGTAGATTCTATATTCTTGATTCCTGATAAAGTTTTGCTGGTGTAGGTTGCTCTCTTTTATGAAGATGGACGCCCTGTGGAAGCCAGGGGTTTTGGGAGAAGGGTCATAGATAAAGTTTATGAGACCTATGCTTCTGAGCTGCAAAGCAAGGGCTTTGCATATGATGGAGAGAAAGCATTATTTACTCTTGGTTCGCTCCCACGTAATAAGCTTGAATTCGTGGTGGTGCTAGATGAAATTTCATCAAACAAGTAAGTACCCATTGCTGGTAATACAATATTAAAAGTAACATGTGCAGATTTTCTCACAACTCTTACTACATGATCTTGTCTTTATAATCAAAACTTGGTAGCAAATAAACAACTTCAACAAAGTGCTGTGTTGTAACTTATTGCCTCATTTTGTGCCATTTTTTTTTCAGGGTTGGAAGGAATGGAAGCCCTGACAACACAGAGGGAACTGATAAGAAGAGAATGAGGCGTCCGTATCAATCCAAGACAATCAAGGTGGAGATCAGTTATGCCAGAAAAATCCCTATGCAGGAAATTGTTGATGTATTAAGCGGTCTAGAATCTGATCATCATCAAGAAGGATTAAGGGTTCTGGATATCATACCAAGGCAGCATGCAGCAAAGCAGTATGTTAAAATCAGGGAAAAAAAAAAAGTTCAATTGTTTTCATTGCTTGAATGGTTCCGTTTACCTTTCCTTCATTTGATTTTCAAGGGGCTGCCTACTTGTGCGTCAATCATTCTTCCATGATAGAGTAGAAAATTACAGAGACATTGGAGGTGGTGTTCAAGGTTGCCGAGGCTTCCATTCGAGTTTCCGAGCCACTCAAGGGGGTCTGTCTCTAAACGTTGGTAAGTTTTTCACTTGAAATGCCTGGGAAATTATGTTCATATGTCATGTTTCTCTTTTTCTGATATTTGGTATCGCTTTCAAGATATGTCAACAACATTGCTTCTAAAGCCTGGTCCAGTGTTGGAGTTCCTCTGCATGAATCAAAATGTTAATCGTACCAATTTGATTGATTGGACCAAGGTAAATTTATATATGAACTTTCATATATATATATATATATATATATTGAAAATTTAAAAGTTCCATGAATAATATCTGTATAATTTGCATTTTTTTAAGGCAAAAAGGATGTTGAAGAACCTGCGAATCAAGGCTAACAATATGGAGTACAAAATCACCGGATTGAGTGATAAGCCCTGTAGAGATCAGACGTAAGCTTTCTTGTGCTTCGTATTGTTCAACATTTGCCTGATATTTTTAGTTAGTTACATGCATAACTGATAAGATTTCCCTGGTTCCTATTGCAGGTTTTCCTTGAAGCAAGGAAGAGACGCAAATGGTGAGGTGAAGTCAATTGAAATAACAGTTGCTGCATATTTTGAACGCTATAAAGGCATCAGATTGCGTGACTCAGCTAATTTACCATGCATCAATGTTGGCAAACCAAAGAAACCTTCTTATTTTCCAATAGAGGTACTAATATATTTCACTAAACTGGGTGCATGAGGAAACCTTTCCAGCCCCCCGTTTTTTTTTTCATACTATAATGCCTGGTTGATCTTGACCTGTATAAAAAAGCTATATTGAGTTTAAAAATGGGGATGTATCCTACCCACTGTCACATGTTTTTTCTTGATCTGATTCTTTCTTTAAATGTATGAAGGCATATAGATGATTCAATCATATTGTCATATATGGAAGCATGTTATGAGACTTGTTCTTTTGTAGTTCTGTACTTTGGTTTCATTGCAACGCTACACTAAGGCCCTTACCAGTTTGCAAAGAGCTTCACTTGTGGAAGTGTCAAGGCAAAAGCCCCATGAACGAAAGGCATCTCTATCAAATGTATGCTTTGACTTGTCACATTTCTTCTTCTAGTTTTTTTTTTTTTTTTTTGGTTTTTTTGCCTGACTTGTCATATTTCACCATCTAACACCTTACACAATTCTGATAATGCTCTTCTTTCAGTCACTGAAAAACTGCAGATATAATGATGATCCTATGCTTCGTTCTTCTGGAATCACCATTGACTCTGAGTTTACAAAAGTTGAAGGTCGTCTTCTACCAGCTCCAAAGGTAGAAAGACATGATTAAAAATTGTTTTTATACAGTCGATTCATTCATAATTATTACATTGCTTATCTCTTATTCTAATATAATCTCTAGCAATATGTTGCTGCATGCAGCTTAAACTTGGGAATGGGGAGGACTTCACTCCTAGAAATGGGAGGTGGAATTTTAATAATAAGGTTTGGCCACAATATTTTCACTTTAAATTTTAATTTAGCCAAATTCAACATAATTGGTCTCACAGATAACCATTATGTGTTAGAAACTTTATCAACCTGTGGTGATTGAACGTTGGGCCATAGTCAACTTCTCTGCTCGTTGTAATATTAACATCCTGATCGAAGGCTTGCAGAGATGCGCAGAAAGGAAGGGGATGGTTTGTTTTTCATAGTGCCATATGGAAGTTCAATTTGAAAACTTATATGCATCTTAGTCCTTTTCCCCTTTTTTTGGTAGATCCTCAAGGAGCCATTTAGAGTGTTTAAAGAGGATCTCCAAATGAGTCGCAAGCCGGCCACTGTCAGGGTAGAGGAATTGTATGCAGTTGTGATGAGTCAGTTGCCTGGGTTACCCCAACTTCTATTGTGCATTCTACCAGAGAAGAAGAATTCTGATATCTATGGTATTTAAGTGTACCTTGGTTTCGTTTTCTATATACTAATGTGGACTTGTATAACCATTGAATAGACTTGATTTTAACTCACTAACCATTGTATTATGAAGGTCCTTGGAAAAGAATAAATCTTGCTATTGATGGTAAAGGTAAAGGGGTTGTTACACAATGTATTGCCCCGACAAAAATGAATGATCAGTACTTTACCAATGTTCTACTGAAGATTAATGCCAAGGTACATAAGACTGAACATTTTTAAAAAAAAAATTGCTTGTGTCTCTTATTTAAACTGATATCTATCCTCGCGTTGTTACACATCATTCTCTCTTTTTTTTTTCTTTTATGCAGCTTGGTGGGATGAATTCCTTTTTGGCAATAGAGCATTCACGTTCTATACCTTTAGTTTCAAATGTGCCTACCTTAATTCTTGGCATGGACGTCTCACATGGCTCTCCAGGTCGAGCAGATGTACCGTCTATTGCTGCGGTAATGATATTTTTTGGGTTTCATTTAGTCAGTTTTGCTATTTCAAATTTTGAAATTGATTGTGTTCAGCCACATCCAACGTAAGGCCTTCACGATGATTAGATGGCTATACATAGGGAATTGAGGGGAAAAAATTGAAGAAAAAGAGGGAAGGTGGACCCCAAAGAAATTGATAATTTTTTGTTTCATTTTGTTATTGATAATTGCTTGACCACGTAAGATTCAATTAGACCATAGTCTCTATTACCAATTGGATCTATTCAAAGACATGCAGTTAGCTGTTTGTGCAACTCTATTTTCTTAAGCTTTCTTGAGGAGCTGCACAAAGTATCGATGTCATGAGTTGGAATGTTTAGTCCATTAAATCATAAGGGAGATATAACTAATGAGTATTCAAATTTTCTTCAGCTTTATCTATTACTCCTGGAGCAGCACTGAGTTAATTTCTTTGTCTTTTTTAAGTCCACATTTCTAAGTGATCTACCCTTTGAGAAAATATTTAGGTTGTCAGCTCAAGGTGTTGGCCTCAAATTTCACGTTATAGAGCATCAGTTCGTGCCCAATCACCAAAGGTTGAAATGATTGCTAATCTGTTCAAACCTATTGCTCATAATAAGGATGACGGTATTATCAGGTGAGGCTTTAGATCAAAGTGAAGATTTTGCTCATCTTTCTTTGAAAATTTTTGTGCGCTTAATTCAATCCCATGATTATATATTTTACAATGTTTTACTTTCTAGAGAGCTGCTTGATGACTTCATGAATACTTCAGAAAGGAGGCCTGAACATATTGTCATATTCAGGTACAATAGAAAATTTTCTATTGTGATGATAGATATCGTTTTATTTGTTTGAATTGATGGTACATACATACTTCAAGAATTTTGGACACTTTTTAGGCTTCTCTAGTTTTTCTATTATTTTGCCACAATGGATTATGTCGGAAGAGTTATCCATTGAAAATGATACATTTTAAAAGTTAAGCATGAAGATTATTAAGCTCAAAATTTTGGTTTCTTTAGAAAAATCAGAACCACTGCGCAAACTTTTTAGATCCTAAACACAGTTTTACTTTATTTGGAATTAGGGATGGAGTCAGTGAATCACAATTCAATCAGGTGTTGAACATTGAGTTCGAACAAATCATTCAGGTAACCCATATTTGCCAATATTCTTAACGTTGACGCTCTATTTATTTATGGTTGAAATTCAATTGAATGCCATTCAAATTGAATTTTCAGGCATGCAAGCATTTTCAAGAAACATGGGATCCAAAGTTTACTGTGATTATTGCCCAAAAAAATCATCACACTAAGTTCTTTCAGGCCGATGCTCAAGAAAATGTTCCTCCAGGTTTGTTCCTTGAACTGCTTACTCTCAAGAAGATATTAGACTCCATTTATTACAAGGATTCCAAACGTATAACTATTCGCCTTTTGTACTCACAACTTACTATAACTTTGATATTTTTTTTTATTTTAAATCTGACCCATTGTTATGTTGGTTTTTTTTTTTTTTTTTTTTGCAGGAACTATCATTGATAATAGAATCTGTCACCCTAAGAACAACGATTTCTACATGTGTGCTCATGCAGGGATGATTGTAAGTATTCCAATCAAAATAGATTCAACTGACTTTGTGCTGATCATTTCTTTTTTCAAATAAAAATATTGAAACACAACAGTTTAATGGCTCAAGCACTGGGGTGTTTTAGATACTATAAAGTTTTGTGCAGAGGAAATTACATTATGATACATTCACTTTCCATGGTGTTGTCAATTGTTGTCTTGTTTGCATAGGGAACAAGCCGGCCTACTCATTACCATGTACTACATGATGAGATTGGTTTCTCTGCTGATGATTTGCAAGAACTTGTGCACTCTCTTTGTTATGTGTAAGTCAATCATTGTTTTTACTTTAAACTTAATTAATTAGCTTTCTTGCATGAGAAAGTGTTAGATATTCTAATAAATCAACCATTAGATTTCATTTGAATGGTCCAGATAAGGCATGAAGGGTATACAATCACTTAAATAACTCTTCCTGACAAATTCTTTGGCTTTCTTTTACAGATATCAGAGAAGCACAACAGCTATATCAGTAGGTAAAACTTCCTAAGTCTGTAAAAGCTCATTTAACATAATCTAGCCAAGGGATTATGTTCAAAGTTGAAATATTTTCTGTAAAATTTGTTGCATCAAACGCTGAAATCTGAGTCTTTTCTGCATCATTATCTTATTGCAGTTGCTCCAATCTGTTATGCTCACTTAGCAGCAGCACAAGTGGCACAGTTTATCAAGTTTGATGAATTTTCAGACTCTTCTTCAAGCCATGGTGGACTCACTTCTGTTAGCACACCTCAAGTCCAAGAGTTGCCTCGTCTTCATGAACGAGTCCGTGGCTCGATGTTCTTCTGTTAGAACTTTAATATCTCTTTCATTTTTGGCCAAGTTAACAGGCTGTAGGGAAGGCTGTTTTACAAAGCCGTTTTTTGAATAGATTCTTGACTGTGTTTACGTTAGAAGAAGTTCTTGTTAATGCATTTTTTATTTGGATTTAGGACTGAGAAAGTTTTAGAGGGGAGAGATCTGAAATACTATGAAACAACTTCGTGGAATTACTTGCAAAAATCATGAATCCTTTGACCTGCCCTATTAAGATGTTGATTCATTTTTTAAATGACTATCCACATCTAGTTTGACACATTGTTATTTTCTCCCTTATTGCATCCGAGCATGATTACAAAGTGTTAACAAAAATTTTTTAAAACTACTCAATTATATAACTGCTTGACTCAAGAAATTCGATTTCATCTCTTAAGTAAATATCTTCTTAAGAAATATTGCAGCATGAGCCAGGCAGACCAGAGGTCCAAAAATTTTATATCATTCACAAAGAATCTTCACACACACTCTAAAGTTAAAAATTAAAGCCAAGTCATCAAAGAAGTAACCTAAGATAGAAATATGCAAAATATTTATTAAACTAACGAACAAGCTCTGCGCTTGTATATAATTCTGATTATTTAATCTTAAAAAATTGAGATCAAAGGTGATAATCATGCCTAAATGAATCAATTGATTAAATCATCTTAAATATAAGGGAAAACCATATTGAAGGTACTTATACTTTCTCTCAATTTTAATTTGGTACCTATATGTTTTTTCCCTTTAATTAAACATTTAATTTTATCTTTTTAGCAACATTAGCTCAATAGCTCTTATAACTTTGTTCTATTGATATTTTTAGTCTCTACATAAGGATTAATGATGTTAATAGAGGAAAAATAAGATTTAGTAAGAACAAAAAAACACATAGGAACCAAATTGAAAATTAAAAAAAAGTACAAGTACCTCCAATATGGTTTTCCCTAAATATAAATACAAATAGATTCAAATAAATTAAATGAAACTATAATGTAAAGGTTAACAAGGCACCAGCTTAAATTCCGTACAATGCACCAAGAAGTTTAAAGCGTTTGAGGGTTAGTTTCTCATCTCACCACATCACTTTGGTTTGTCACTCAAGGTTACAAGAGATTTGAGGACTCCAGGACTAATCTTATCGGCAATGACACCAGTTTCTGAGATTAGATAAGATTTCTCTTTCACAAGGCTCTGAAGTCTCTTGGCCTCAAAATCAAGACTTGTTTGATCTGTTTCTATAATGGTATGAGCAGCATGAAATGGGATGCTGGCGAAGACATCCGTTCCTGGGAACATCATCCATGTCTGTTCACCATAGTCATGGTTGCCACAAGTGGTACAAACCTCTTGCACCAAAGGCCTTGAACTGGTCCCCATAACTCCTTTCATTATTGAATCAAAGCTGATGGCACACACTCTTTGTTGTTTTGGCCCTTTTCCTCAAGGCAGTGAGTGCTTCCCTGTTCCCATTTCTCAGTTTATCATTCTCAACCAACTGGTTCCGGGCTAAGAGAAGATGTTCGGCTTCAACTTCCAGCTCTGTTAGCTTTCTCTGGAACTGTTTCATGTTCTCATCCATTTCTGTATACTATCTCCCTTTGAAGCTTCAATGGGGATAAGAAGTGACTGCACCAGAACTTTCTATATGAAAATAAGCTTAGCTTTTGCTTGAAGGAGAGAAAAAATGTCACCCAGATCCTATTTGCTCGAGACTACTAGATGAACAATGCTTGATGACTTAAAAAGAACTTCATTAGAATCAGATAATCATTCTTAAATTTTTCCACTAACCTCACAAGATTTTCCCATAAAAGAGTATAGTTTTAAATTTTATTCATTTAATAATCCCAAATCTTGAGAGGAAGCCATATAAATGGTATCCATAGGCAAAGCTATATTACCCCCACTGAAATCTTTAAAACATGCTCAGTTGATATAATAACCTATTAATTTTTCTTCCAGATACTTCGACACAACTCGAGCCAAATCTTTTCAAGATCATAATTCAAATACCTTGAGAATTTTCTAAATGATGACGATGATATATAAAAAAAGATTAATAAACAGAATGCCAATACACAATAAACCCAACATTGCAAAACAACAAAGTTCAAAGCATACAAGTCGCCAGTAACCAAAATGAAGAGGGCAAAAGTATAATAGCCAATTACACACCATACAAGCAAAAGCTAGCAAAACAATTAATCTGTAAATATTCCCAAATTCAAAAACGACGATATTTAAACGATCACACGCCCAGATTCAAAGCCAAACTAAAGCAAAACATTGAAGCAAAGCAAGAACAACCACGCAGGGCATAAATGGCGCAGGGAACAAATTAAAATCTAGATTCACAACCAGATTGACCAAATCAATCTCACCGGATTTCGGGAGAAGAAAACGCCCTAGAGTTCAAACCTTCTTCCCTACTTGCTCGAGAACAACCACGCACGACTGATAACGGGGGACGGCGTCCGAAGGGGAGAGTGGAACGCTTGTTCGTCCAAGGGAGTGTGTAACGTGGGGCGGTCGGGGCTGTAATTGAAGTCTAGGAAAAATTTGGTAAAGGGCGAAAATCAATACCCCTCCCACTTTTTTCATTAACAACTCAGAACAAGTGAACCAAAAAGTTAGTTAAATGATATCTTCCATCCTTGATAGTTGATACCCTCCGTGTCTTTTTATAAATAACATTAGACTCAATTATATAAATCAAAAAAAAAGTTAGTTAAAAACAATAACCAAGTAGAAATCAAAAATTTTCCTTCAGAATACTTTTATTGACATGAGAAAGAGAATATAAAAAAAAAAAAATTAGTAAATAAAGAGACTTATGAAAGAGAAAGAATGTTAATGGATAAAAATAATAGTTTGAAAAATGAGATAATAAATATATTGAATATTAAAATAAGTATTAATGGGGATAAGATAAAAATTTACTACAAAAATTTAAGACAACTTGTAAATATGCTTATATTTAGAGAACAAGAGAGGGATGATTTTGCCTATAAAAAGGGATGGAGGAGTAGTATAAAAACCAATTGACTAATTTAAGTAAATTAAGAAGTTTGTTGAGTTAGTATTTATTATAATAAATAGGTACTATCTTTTTTTAAAATACCCTTACTAATTAATTGTATTAGCTTTAACATTTGATTAAATATTTAACATATGCAACTATTATAAGGACTAATTTTTAAAAAATATGAGAGGACAAAATGGATTAGAATCTTATATTTAGACTAAATTAAAAGTTAAACTAACTCTTATATAATATCAAAAGTAGCATAATAAATGGGTAGAAATTGAAAGTTTTTTTTTTTCAAAATACCCTTATTCACAAAAGAGAGAGTATATGAAAAAAAATAAAAAATTATTATAATGAAGAAAATTATAAATGAGAGAGAAAATGTGTGATAAAGAGATATGATGATTTAGAAAATGAAATAATAATATGTTGAATATTAAAATAAGCAACTAATGAGGGT